CCTGAAAATGTGCCATTTCATCTTCTTTTAATTTTATCTAACCTTTTTTCCACTTTCTTCACTCACCTTAATTGTCTTGGACATTATAATAACTCTGCTAAGTCCCACTGTCAGTCTCTTAACGACAGACCTTGACTTGCTTAAAAATTCTGATAACTCACAAAATGACTCTAAAATCGACGAACTTAAATCCCAATTGAAAGATCATGTTGCCAAGTATCATTCCTTTCTGAGTCTGACAGGACTGCCCAGGGACATCCACTCCAGGATGGTGTCTCTTGCTGAGCTCAGTGGGAAGCTTGGCCAATTTATGTGGTGACGCTGTTACTAACGCCATTAAAATGGTATTGACTGGCATTATTGACAGTGATAATGAATTCAAAAGCCTTAGAAACTCTCCGTCTCCGCCTGCAGTCTTCCGCTGCCGTGTCTGCTGAGCCTATAAATGATGTGAAGCTTAGTAAGAAAATTCAGCAATTTGAAGAGAAAATAAAGCTTCTTGAATCTAAGAAAAAATGGCCAAAATCCTCCCCTCTCCTCTGAAGATTCTCGCCTTTTATCCTCCTATCAGTCCAAGTTGGATGCTCTTCAGAAGCTGAGGCCTTAATGACTCCTTGAATTCTCTTAGTAGTAATAATGATAACAATTGTAAAACCTTTTAAGATAACCTCTGCACAGGCCTCGAAAAATTTCTCGGCTACGAGAAGGGAATTACACCGGCTCCGGCATCGTGTACTGGACCTTGACAGGCTGTGTGACGGGTGATGTCTTTCCTTCATGGAGTTCTTGAGACGGTGAAGGATGATGATAACGTTACAACTTATGATAATGATAAGTCTAATGACATTAATAATGTTCTTGACAATTTACATAATAGTGTAGGTAAAGGCCGTGAGGCCTTCGGTGGCCGTGACTCAGGTAAGTGAGTGGTTGAAAAAACATGGTGCGCAGGTGGAGGAGAGGACTAATAAAGTGACTACGGAATTAGGTGAGTTGATTAATAAATTATCATCTGGTGCAGGTAAATACTAGGAAGTTCAAGGGTCGGACCTTTTCCCACTTGCGTACCAGTTAGAGGCTTGGATGAGAACCGTCGAGTCCGTCGACTGGGACATTAGAGACATTAGCGACAACCACAGTAATATATTAGATAGCACACTTAGAATACAATTAGCGCACGAAATAGCTCAGTTAAGAAAGTAGTGGAGCACCTTAAGGGTGTGGCCAAAAATATGACAGACGGCAACAAGGTGAAGCACGTAGACGATGAAATTGCTGCAAAGGAAAATGAGGTCACTCAGCTAATTACTGAAAATGCCAACAGCTCCTGAAAGCCTTGACAGAGATTTGACCTCATTGAAGAGAAAACCAGGAAATTCGGAACAGAGCGTGCCGAGCAGTTGGGACCTTTGTTGCAGTCTGTCAAACAGCTGGTTACGGATGTTGGCCACGGAAAAGAGCGCGCAAGCCTTGGCGCAGCATTATGATAGACATTCTCAATGGGTTACAGACAATAAAGTGGGAAGGTAAGTAACCTTGCAACGGGGGATATTTCCGGCGGTCTTGGTAACGTATTCTCAACTGTGAGTGTAGAGTTGGAGAGGCTGAAAGCAAAGTTAGATGAGATTGGAAGGCTTTCTATCAGTGTTCAGCAAAAGGTAAATAGCGGTTTGGATCAAATTATGGACGATTTGGATCGGAAAGAATCGCTTAAGATGGATATTAGAGGACAAATAGGGTCATATATGAGAGATGAGTTGGGTAATAAAATTAAAGGGGTGGTTGCTCTGCTGACTAAAGAGATCGCGGGTGTTGAAAAAAATGACGGTGCTCTATATGATGTTGTCACCGGAGTTAAGAAGTATGCTGCGAAGTTCATCACAAATGATTCTAAGGACGAATTTGGCAATATAGTGGAGAGTTGGGTGAAAGACATTTTGGGCGTCAAGAATGGTATGTTAAAGGAAAAGGTTAAGGCTTGGATTGAGACTAGTACTTTGAAATCTGCATATAGTGTGACGGGTGAAAAATTAATCCGATTCTTTCAACGAAAATAGCGAATCAGGTCGTTGCGAAATTGAAAGGTGACAGCAATAATATTATTAAGTCAGCCGGTGCAACGGTTGCAAATCATATCGGACCCGACACCGGTTCCAGCAAAATATTGAGGAATATGTCACTGCTGTTCAGCTAGGTTGTAAGGACTTCGCCGAGAAACTTGAAATCAAGCTGAAGAATTATAGCAGTACTACAGGGGGTACGGGAAAAGGCATCGTCCCACTTGCGTGTGATATAGCCAAGCAGATTGAGAATGGGTTGAAGGGGGATTTAGGCATGGGCAGTGATTCTACGTCTCCCAAAATTTCTGATCTCGAACTCGCCGTCCAATCCATTCTATCCGCTCTCGTATCCACTGCAAAGGAGACCGCTGGGGAACTTAAGCGATTCACCGATAGCTCCGACCTTAGTTCCAGCGTACACAGTGCTATAAAAGCAGTCAAAGGGCTCGGCGGTCATCTTGAGAGCGCTTACACCTGACGACTCAGATCCACGTAAGATTGGCAACATTATTAAAATTGAGCTCGGAGACAAAGCTACATTTGTCAACTTCGACACCAAGCTCCACCCGCTGCTCCGAAATGCCGCCAAAAAGGGTATCAGCATGCTAGACACTGAAGTCAACAGCATCATTAACCAACAACTTCGCCGTGTTCACGCGACAATTGGGCAACAAATTAATAGACTCAATAAGGTTCCAGGTAAACATTTGGGTAACGTTCAACAAATTGTCGACGGCCTTCAGGAACAAATTGCTGAAACTCAGAAACTGGTCGCCAAAACAAAGGCAATTGCGGAAGGCAATATAAAACAGCAAGTTGATTCACTCAGAGACCGCGTTAGCAAACTCAAGTTGAGCATAGAAGATATTAATGATAAAATCAAAGCCTTTGATAATTCTCTTCAAAAGGCCATCCAAGACGCCACTGATGCAGTTGAAACTGCTCGACGTACTCTGCACACTCAAATTATTACTACAAAAAGTGAGCTCACACGTACAGCTGAAGCAGCCTTCACAACCGTCAAAAAAGCAGTGCAATCTATGTTCTGCGAGCAGCACAAAGCGGACTTAACAGCTTTACACAAGTTAGTGGAGGCGCAAGAAGGGGAAATAAAGAAGATTATCGAGGCTGATAAGAAGAATGGTCTAAAGGGAATGCTGACTAAGCTAAAAGACACATTGGTCACTGAAGTCGATGGTATTAAAAATATTCCCAAATCGCATTCAAAACTGTTTGATGACTCATTTAATCCTCCGCTGAGCCGTGCGGTGTTATTTGCTAACATAGGCTTCAAGGGATTTTTACAGAGCCTATCTCAACAAAGCGACGTTAAATCAGAGCAGTCAAAAATAAACGATCTCCTTGATGTGTTGGACAAATTGTTGAAGCGAATTTACAATTCCCAGCATTTCGACCATGAAGTGACTCAAAAGCGCATAGACTTTGAAGATTCACTCAGCAGTTTTAATCCCGACGTCATGAACGATGGACAGAAGATAGTGCTGAGGCCTTTGAAAAAAGGGTTCAATGATTTTGTCACACACCTACGCAACGCATATGTCTCCAGGTATTCTAGACAGACCATCGATTGGCACGAACCAAAACAGACTCCAACATCTACTACGTCTTCAACTACCGCACCCAAATCGGCTCCCCTTCCAGCATCCGCTGCAACTACGGCGTCCGTGCAACAAGAAAAGGAACCGTCCGGCGACGCAATGAAATGTGCGAGTGTATGTTTGACCATTTTACGTACGCTTTACAACCAGCTGCATTACTTGTTCTATAATTGCGCTACACGGTGGAGCAAGTATACAATCAACGGTGACGCAACGAACGACCAAAGTAAAAAAATATTGAAAACATATCTCGAAGGTCAAGGCTACGATATTCGGAGCCTAATTAACAAAGGCCACAATGGCACACAGGTTGCCGTCAAATTGAGTAGAGGGTTCAATAAACATAGTGAATTCAGCAGACAACCCGACCATAATAAAATATTCGATGTTTACATTGATAGTGTTCAAAAATCCACGACACCCGGCGTGCTTCAACAGCTCTTCACTCACCTGGGCACTTACTACCGTGCCTGCCACCTAACGATCCACAAATCTCCTAGATACCCTTGTTCAGTTAGAGACATGTGCACCTGGCTCACTGGGCTTCCTCACACTGAAGTGTACACTAAAATTAAAGGGCACTGTGAAACGTTGATCAAGCAAAAGGACAATGTAACTGGTAACATGCCGTATTACGGTGATGCGGTGATTAGAAAAATTCTGAATTCGGACTTATATTATTGCTTACAATCCACTTGCAATATTTCTTACGACGCGTTAACAATCATCCAAGGACACGGCTGCGGCTACAACCAGGCCGACTACCCATATGGTTGTAATTTCGTTGACAATTCCAGAGGTTTCCACTATCCGACAAACGTCATGGCGTTGTTCGATATGCTTAGTGACATTTGTCGCCGTTTACTTTGTGCGCTGTACTTTCTGCGTATCCGTTGTAGATACGCTGCGTCTCACGGTAACGGCTGGCGTGACTGTGCATACGGTCAGAATATCGGCGGTTCCAGTTGGAGCTGTAACACAAAGCAATGTGCTAACCAAAAGTGTACCCAAAAGGTTAAGCAAAGTGGTGACCAACGCTGCGATCAACATCCTAACTGCGGCGTTAAATCGCCTCTACAAGCTCACCTAACAGACAGTCTCCCCGGGTGCTTACCACACAAACTGACATCAGTTGGATGTTCATCGAAATGCTTAACATGCCCTAAGAATTCACCAGGGCAGCAATGCATACCTCCAATGGGTTTCTGGGATTTGTCGACCGCGGCGTCAAAGCAGGGCGTCGGCAATGATATACACGATGTGCTCAAACGCTTATGTAAAGACGCTTATTCACCTTTGCCTAAATTGTTACATTGCCTCTGGACACTGCATCCTTCTCCGCCTCGAAGTTTGGGGGACATGTTTGCATTTTATTATAACATGTTCATGGCGTGGACATCCACGAGATTTTCTGACTATGCGGTTTTCAGATCTCATCTTGTTGATAAAACCATTCCAAACTGTCTGCCACTGGGCGCAAGTGTTCACAATGGTCATCGGGCATCGGACCTAACCGATGCTCTTACAAATCTGCAGTATACATCCGATGATCACAAGCAGGCTCCCTCAAAGGATGACATAACTAAAACTCATTCCGACCTTTGTAGTATTACAACGAAATCAACGTCATGCACAAATGGACTCACATGTGCTCCATATATTCAATCCTTATCGGGGACCATTTATCACACATACGCCAACAAAAATGCTAATCTATGTTTGTCATGGTTTGTCCATTTAGCTTGGCGACTTTGGGAACAGCTCAATGAATTATATGAAGCGTTTCAAGGCATCGACTGCAAATCATCAGGATGCTCTAAATGCAATTGTTCCTCTGGTAAGCACGGCGATGCGGAGCGTCCATGTAGCTGCACATCCATTGTCGAATGTGGTGGCGTACTATCTAAAATGTACCGCTTTGGATGCACATTCGGCAGCGTTAAAACACTAAATGAGAAGAAAGTGAAGTGCAGCAATTTCACTACGCAACTACATAATGTCTTACATTCGCCGTATTTTGATAATCTATTCACTGTCATCGACAACTTCATATATTGCATCCGCCTCCCCTTCATGACCTCACTCCTCACCCTCTGGTCGCTGTCGCTCCTGTACCTGCTGCACATCACCGTCGTCCGCCTCGACGTCCTGAGGATACGCTCCCACCTGAGGTCACCCTCAAGCCACAGGATCGCCGCGCAGTCCCTCCTCGCCGCCGCGCGCGTCAGGGCACTCGCCAACGTCAAGTACTTCTCACCATAATCGTGCCTTCACGTGTGATCTGTGTATCACCCACTCACTCACCCACTCACTCGCCCACATCGACCCCGCTCATCAACCACTGACCGCATAACCATACTCTTGCTCATCCTCCTTGACCGCTCGCCCGCCCTGCTCATCGACCATCTCCCATCGACCACTCAATCTCACTCATCAGCCGCCCGCCAAGCTCGGCCATCGGCCATCGACCATCGGCCTCATCATTGCCATGCCATCACACGCCTCATCACCCGCCCGCTCTGCTCCTTCGCCATCGATACGCTCATCGCTCGCCCACTCGACCGCCCGCTCATCAGGCCACTCGCTCATCACCCCATCATTCACTGTTCATTCGCTCCATGCCTTCACCTCCTTCACTCATCCGTCGGTCATTGCTTTGATCTTCCCACTTCCTCCTCCACCTCCGAAATCCCCTTACCTCCACCCATCTCCCTCCTTCATCGCCCTCTTTCGCCCCTTCACTTCCCTCGCCTTGTCCACCCACCTCCCTCACTGCCTCGCTGCCTCCTTGACCTAAAATCGCCTTTCTCCAAATCCCGCCAAATCGCCCTGAAAATGTGCCTTTTCATCCCCCTTTACTTCTTCTAACTCTCTCTTAATCCTCCCTTAATCCAACTACAATGACCATTACAATGAAGTTCATTACCTTACTGATAACGCCAGAGAGAAAGCATTGAAGGATATAAATGAACGGCAGAGTAATCTTGAAGATCTTAAGAATAAGCTTAAGATATTCACTGTGGAAGATCAATCTAAAGAATGCGAAAAGCTTTTAGAAAATCTCACTGAAGGTTTAGAAAAGTTCCTTGGTTACCAAGGAACCTCCAAAGGCTACGATGGCTCCGGCATCGTGTACTCGGACCTTGACAGGCTCTGCGACGGGGTGATGTCTTTCCTTCATGGTGTTCTCAGTGAAGTGAAAAATGATGAAAACGTCACAACTTATGATAATATGCTTGATTCAGGTAGTAGACTTGATAATGTTCTCTCCACTTTACGATCTAAAATTGGCTCCGGGCGTGTTGGGCTTTCGGAGTCTGTCACCAAGGTGAAGGAGTGGTTGGGGAATTATAATGAGGAAGTTGGCAGGAAGACTGGAGCAGTGAAGAACAAATTAGGTGAGTTGATTACTAAATTATCATCTGGTGCAGGTGACGGGAATTACTACAAGGAAATTGCGGGACGATCGGGACAGGAACTCAAGAAGCAGCTGGAGGGGTGGCAATCGACGATTGGCAAGATTCAGCACACTGTAGACACTATAGAACTAAAACTTAACGACTTAGATCTTAATCTTAGACATAAAGTACGTAGTGAAATGAATGATATTGGTGGTGCAGTTAGAACGCTGAATGAGAGTGCGTGGGACGATGCGTTTGGGAGGCAGGTGCAGGAGGTGGACAGGGAATTGAGTGCGCAGACGGCAAGAGTGGAGCAGCAAATTGTTGAGAATTATGAGTATCTGCGAAATATGTTAGAGAGTGAGTATCAGGAACTTTTAGAAATATCAGATGTCTTAATGATATGCAGAGCAGCCAATTTGGGCGTATCACGTCGATGTTGCAGGAGACTCAAGAATATCTAGCGAAGTTTGACGGCAATTATAAAGACATGATACTTGGTGCGTTTGACGATATAAAGAGAGAAGTTGCCAATGTTTACAACACTCTAAATGATGAGAAGGTGCGGCTTGCCGGTCTGGTCAGTACAATGCAGAAGACACTGGAGACACTGTCTACAACTTTTGCAACTAGTGTGAAAGGGGGCATAAAATGCGATTTGGAGAGTTTGAGAGGAAGAATTAATGGGCTTACAAATGGTATGGACAAAGCGCCCCAAAAGAATATTCTTGTTCAATGTGCGTTGTCGGAGCTTGGCACGGCTTTGGCTGCGCTTCAAAAGGTTACTGGTCCGATTAGCGAGACGTCCAAGAAACTTGGAAGTACGTGCGCTGCATTTCAAGACCAGATGGCTAGTGTAATCCAAGGTGTGGAAATTATTCAGTCAGTAAATATATCTGGGAAGTTATCAAAATCTGTCATTGAACTAAGTAAGCATCAGAAGACGTTAGAACAGATTAAAGGAATTACTAAGGTTAAAACGTCGATAAATAATGATATTGCAGGGCTTGTAAATGAATTGAATGATGGGGTTAATACTATTACACAATTGTACACTTATCTAAAGACTGCAAGTTATGCCATGGCATCGAACGTTAAAGATGCAGTCGACAAAGCAGGCGGTGCAATCAACAAACTCGGCGAACAACTTAAGACGGCGGTGCAACAGGCGCACGAAGTGGTAAAGGATGCAGCAGATCTAGAGACCGTCCGAAGAGCTGAATCGAAGCTTTTGAAATTTCAAAAGCTAAAAGAAACCCTATACGGCAAAAAGAAGTTGCCCGAGTCGCCTGAAATCGGTTCTCTAATGCAGCTTTTCACTCAATTGACCGCTGATATTGCTGGAAATGGCGCCAGCTCACACATCGCTCTTGACGCCGCCGTTAACGCCTTCCACTCTAACGCCACAGGTCGTATCAGAGGAGCCGCCCAAACAGCAATTTCGCAGGCGTTTGTTAAGGTGACGGAGGACATCGCACTCTTCGAGAAGAACGGAGAAGGAACAAACCAGGTCAAAACCGTTTTGCGTGATTTAAAAAGCCAATTCGCAACACTTGGCACGTACATAACGCGGGACCAACATGGGTCAATTGACCAGAAAATTAAAAAAATTGAAACCCACTTCACTGAGCTTAATGGCATTTCAAAGGAGGAACCGGATGGTGTAATCAACCAGAGGAGGAAGAGGGCGGAGGAGCTTATGAATGAGCTGAAAGATGAAATCCAGAATAAAATTCGTTCCACTTTGCAAGCAGTAGTTGACACAGATTTGCATCTTCGAAATGCCATTGATACCGTTTACGAAGCTCTCCTGTCAGCGCGTAAAAATAGCAATATAGCCTTAGAAACTCTAAAAAACAATCTTCTCGCCATATCTGCTGACGCCTTCAGAATAGTGAAGGAAGAGGTCCGCTCCCTCTTCACCCACCAAAAACTCGCCGACCTCTCCGCGCTGCACAAACTAGCCGAACGCCAGGCCAAAAAGATCAAAAGTATAATTGACACCGATGTAACAAACGGCGTCAAAGGTTTACTAAATCACATGGGAACATGGTTACCGCACAATAAATCACCTGTCATCTTCAAAAATCTAACATACTTTAGCGATGTCGCCGTGGATTCCAAGTATCTCCTAGATGCCCTCCTCTCCTACACCACCGATCAGGTCAAGACGCCGAGCAAGGCGAAGAAGGGAGAGAAAGAAAATAGCGAGGAGTCCAAGAAAGTTCAAGAAATCCAGGCAACAGTAAACAAATTACTCTCCCACCTCTCTGCATCTGACAAACTATACAACTTCGACTATGCATTCCAACAAAAACTCTCCGCACTCACCGACGCTGTTACCAACCTGTCCGCCACAAAATTCGCCGGCCACCAGAATCCCGAATTGCTCGACGCGCTGAAAAAGGGATGCTTGGCGTTACCGGCGAGTTGAACCACGCGTACGTTAATAGGTATGATAGTCAGAAATTCACGGAAAACTTAATCGACGCTAAATATGAATTAACCCCCTCAAATAATACCACAATCATAACGCTGACGGAGTACGGTGAGAAATGTTCTAAAGTCTTCCTCACCATCTTAAACATTGCTCAAGACGCTCTATGTAGGCTGCATTACAAGTGTGAAGATGACTGGCAGGGCAAATTAATATGTGAAATGAATGGCCACGACGAGAATCCACTCGGCAACTTTCTACAGCGTTGTGGTTTCGACGTCGCCAAAAATGAGGACTCTAAGGACGGCGAGTTGAAATTACCGATGAATAATTTCAGTGGTCAGAATATTCATCAGCTGCTTAATGAGACAATTAACGGCGCACAAAATAATATACATCTAACAACATGTAAATCACCTAAAACAAACTTTAATGTCTTTGACATCTTCGATTGCCTCATAACTCACCTTAACCAATATAACCAAGTAGGCCACATAGCTACATTCACCGCCAGTAGGACACCCTGCAGCATTTTCGACATGCTGTGTTGGCTGTCCGGACTTCCGCACAACGCGGTGTTCCAGAAACTCACAGCACACTGTAACGCATACGACACAAAAGGTGACACCGATTTACGGAAACGTTTGTTAGATGCCGTTGCATATAGTTTTCCCAACATCGGCAAGTATTCACATAATATGTTGACCACCATTGTTGGCACTGGAAACGCCGATACCATATATGGCTCTGACCTCGCTAACAACTCTCTTAAATTTAAATACCCTGCTTCAGCCGAGGAATGTCTGTCCACTCTTCTAGACATATTGCGTAGATTGTTGCCGGTATGTAGATTCTTGTATAAACAATGTGGAGTCCGTCCATCTCATTTCGGTTGGCGTGATTGTCAGTACGGCAAGAATATTCCCACCGCCAAGTGGCCGTGTACCGACCATTCAACTGACAAAGCAAATAGCCAACCAACGACTAAACCAACGTGCCAACCAAAATGCCAACCAACGTGCCAACCAAATTGCCAACCAACCTCGCCTTTAATGTCCTATCTAAATGACTGTTTACCTGGCCACTCATCAGTTAATGAGTGTTGGATGTAAGTCGGTATGCTCCACCTGCCCTTCCACTTCCAGGAATGGTATGCCATGTTTGACACCATTAGGCTTTAGAGCCTTTTCTGGGTCAACGAAAACTGGTAAAGACCTATGCGAAATTATAAAGAAATTCTTCGCCAACGTGAATCTTTCATCCATCTTTTGCCTGGGCCCCAAACCTCCAGTTACCTCCCAGAGCACTTTGGTTTTGCCATGTCGCTTGTTGGCCAATGGGCTGATACTTCTAGGTATGGCGTACAGAGTCTCAAAGCTGTAATTGAATCCACAATCACCGATAAATCCATTGCACTTTATGATCCGCCGACAGAGCTTATGAACGCTCTCACCAACGCTTATGGGCATGGCGTAGAAGGCCATACCAATTGCGATGACACGCACATCACTAGTCTCACATCGTCTGGTACGTGCAACAGCAAAAACTCTCACAGTGCTCCCTATCTATCGCCTCTTTGCTCCGATGTATATAAGTACCTTGCCAACAAAAATGCTGCTCTGTATCTGTCGTGGATTGCATATCTCCATGGGCATTTCAACAATACCTCGAATGTTTGCTTGATGCTTTCAAGAACATCTTCTGCCACGAATGGGGGTGCCACGTGTGTTTCTATAACGATAAGTGCAAAAAAGGAAAGCACGGTGAATCGGAACATCCGTGTCAATGCAGTTCCTTAGTGAAATGCAAGGGTGTTGCACCAACTCTATATAGTTACGGATTCACATTTAACGATGTGCTTTCATTGAACGCATCGAAGTTTGCAACAACATGTTCCGATTTCCAACAGCAGTTGAGTAAAGTAACAAAATCCAACTATTTCACAGAGCTATTTAAACAGTGTGATGAACTACTCTGGAAAATCAGGGAGCCATTCTCCTGACATTGTTAGCCCTCTGGTCGCTGTCGCTCCTGTACCTGCTGCACATCGCCGTCGTCCGCCTCGACGTGCTGAGGATACGCTCCCACCTGAGGTCACCTCAAGCCACCGCATCGCCGCACTCCTCGCCGCCGCGCACGTCAAGGCACTCGCCAACGTCAAGTACTTCTCACCATAATCGTGCCTTCACGTGTGATCTGTGTATCACTCACATAATCACTCACATACTCAACCACCAACTCACTCACTCAACCACTCAACCACTCACCCAACCACTCAACCACTCAACCACTCACTCACTCACCCAACCACTCAACCACTCACCCACTCACCCAACCACTCACTCACTCATCGACCATCTGCCCGTCACTCGCTCCTCATCGCTCGGTATCGACCGCTCGTATACGCCCGCTCACCCATCAACCACTCACCCATCATCATTCATCGACCACCCATCGGCCATCGTCCGCTCATCATCGCTCTCCCCCATCACCTAATCCTGCGCCGCTCACTCACCCACTCAACCACTCACCCTCTCACCCACTCAACCACTCAACCACCCAGTCAACCACTCACCTACCCTTTCACTGGTCGCTTCGCTCCCTCCTCCGTCACCCCCTCCATCACCTCCTCCGTCGGCGTCCTTCACCCAAATCCTCATTTTCCACTTTCTCCCTCCACCTCTGAAATCGCCTCTCTCCACCCATCTTCCTACCTCATCGCCCTCTTTCGCCCCTTCACTTCCCTCACCCTGTCCACCCACCTCCCTCGCTCCCTCGCTGCCTCCGTCACCTAAAATCGCCCTTCCCCAAATTCCCCCAAATCGCCCTGAAAATGTCCTTAATAATCCACATGATTTACTTACTAACCTGTGCTCTGGCCTGGAGAAGTTCCTTGGTTACCAAGAAACTTCCAAAGGCTACGATGGCACTGGCATCGTGTACTCGGACCTTGACAGGCTCTGCGACGGGGTGATGTCTTTCCTTCATGGAGTTCTTGAGAGTGTGAAAGATGATGATAACGTTACAACTTATGATAAATACATTGATAATAAAGATCATCAACTTCAAAAATTACTTGACTCTCTCCAATCTTCGATTGGCCAGGGACGCAGTGTCTTTGGTGAGCGGGTTGAAGAGGTAAGTGAGTGGTTACAAAAATATTGGACGCAGGTGAACGGAAGAACATTGAGCGTTATAAATGCTTTAGGTGAGTTGATCACTGATAAAATAGATTCATATGCTACTAATGTTCTTTCAGGTCATCCAAGCAAGGAGCTTCAACAGCAGTTGAGGGAGTGGACTTCCGTTCTTGGCAGCATAAATGATCACATTAAAAGCAACATAATCACTAATGTTTCTAAATTAGATCCCGCACTTAGCGATAAGATAACGCGTGAAATTGAGCCCGTGCGAAAGGTGGTGGCGCAGTTGAGGGGGGTGGCTACTGATCCACACTTCACGGGGCACCCAGAGTTCGTGGACACAACCTTGGAGAAACAGAGGATTAACGTCGAAACGAAAATAGTAAATGAGAGTAGAGAACTAAAAAGGAAATTGAGAACTCAGCTGGAAAATATACTGAGCAAAATTGATAGCCTCAGAACGATTAGAACCAACCACTTCGTCTATCTAAAGAAGGCTGTTAAGGCAGCAAAGGCAGATGCGGAAAAGCTAGTGGAGAGATTTAATGAAGACTATAAGATTCAAATTATTCAGCGCATTATTAGATTAAAGGATGGTATGACAGAAATTTACAGGGGTGAGTCAGGGAAATGTCCACTGGAAAACGATGTGGAGGCGATTAACACAAAGCTTGGTGATATTAATAGCAAACTGGGAAAATATGTCAGTAAGTTGTCAGATTCAATGCATAAAACTGGGGTAGTAGTTGATTCAGTGAAGACGCTGGTTAATAAAATAACCGGCTTTGCCAATGACCATCAGGGGAGTTGGAAGGCAAACATGAAGGAGCTTAGTGATGACATTAAGCAAAAAGCGGACGATCTGAGTAATGATTTCAGTAAAGCCAAAAATCATGTCAAGCAGTTTGTTGATGAAGCGCAGTTGAAGGTTAAAGAATTGGATGAGAAAGTCATGAAGGATTTGGAAGGATTAAAAGAAAATATTCATAATAATGTTCATTCCTATTTCCAGACACAGCTTAGCGCTGTGATTGAGGGTATTAAGGCGGCAGCTATAGGGGGCACCAAAGGCGTAGATAAGCTGCTTAATGATATGAAGAAGTACAGTGCGGTAAAGGGTCTGCTTACAGCGGCAAAAAAAGATACTTCTTTTGCTAACGCCTTGGAATACGCACTGAAGTCTCTCAAAACAAATCTTAATAATCAGCTTCCATCAAATGGTAAACAGAACAAACTGATCAACGCTTTATCTGACGATATCAATGGGAGGGTAGACGGCGCGTTTCCTTCCCAGGGATATGTTGGTGACAGCCTGGACCTGTTCCAAAAAATGAAGGATTTTTCAGCCGCAAAAAATAATATAGCCAATGCCATCTCCGATGTTAATAAGCACGGGCTGGAGACATTTGATGGCAATCTTGGTACCTCATATGTATCACCCCTTAAAACGCTATCCACCAATATAACCAAGAATGTTGACGACCTCTCGAAAACCGTTTGGCAGACCACCCAGCACATTAATGCATATCTTAAAGATCTGAAAGATGTAAAAATTGGTGAGCGTATTGCAGCAATTAGGCAGAACATTGACATCCTGCAAAGCGCTACCTTGTCCAGCGTCATCGGAGATGACATCACCACTGTGCTTGCCAAAATCGAAAAGTTGGAGGATCTTCCTGAAGCCGTGGAAGATGCGAAGTCAATGGCGTTGCAGAAGATGGATCATTTGGATGACGCTATAAAACAGATTAAAAATAATATTGAGATTGTTGACACCCTTGTTACCGATGCTGATGCCGCCCTTGTACGAGCTATCGATGACACTCAGCAAGCGTTGATTGAAGTCAATGAAACTGCCAGACAAGCTGTTTCACAACTACAGGAGAATATCATCAATAAGGTGTCCGAGGCCTTCACATTTGTGAGATCCGCCGTCCGCTCCCTCTTCTCCACCTCCCACGCCGCCGACCTCCAGGCCCTGCGCGCGCTCGTCGACCAGCAACTGCGGGAAGTGCAAAAAATTGTCGACGCGGACGCAGTCACGGGCGTGAAGGGGATGCTGAATAAAATGAATGAATTATTCAAAGGTAAATATCTGAATCCTGACGAACTTAAAAAACCTGTGGAACCAAGAATGTTTAATACAGTCTCGTTGGAATTTAAGGAGATTGCAGATTGTCTTTTACAGTACGTTGAAAGTCAGGTGAAGACTCCGAATGAAGATCCTAAACAGGCTGCGACGCCGAACACAGAATCAAATAAGGTCAACGATATTCAAGGTAAACTAGACAAATTACTTGACTATCTCAAACGTATCACATTTGATGAATTAAAGCGTCCGTATAACTTCGATCACAACTCCGATGAACTCCTCGAAAACCTTAAAACATCCGTTACCAACTTAACATCCTCCAACTTCCACGGCTTCCACAACCCGCTGCTCCTCGACGCCCTCAAGTCCGGCATGGACAAATTCACCGCTGAACTCTCCCGCGCGTACGTGAACAGATACAGTGGGTGTAAGCCTGTAACAGAGTGGGAGAGAGATGAGAAGGATCCTCAAACCCAAGAACTTAAGAAAGTCCTTTCCACCGAGGGCCGCAACTGCGCCAAGGTCTGCCTGACCATACTGGAGACGATGAATCATGATTTAGATATATTGAAAAAGTACTGTGTCGACAAATGGTATTCAAAGCAAATATATGCAGCTAGTAGTCTCGGTTCATTTTTGCACAAATGCGGTTATGGCGTTGCTAGTCTTGACTCTAGGCAGGACAATGAATTAGATAAAAACGTGAGCGGCGGGAAGATTACAACTCTTCTCATCCGCGATCACAATCATGTTTACAACAAACAAGAGGACACTAAAAATGCTCTTCAGATTATTTTCAAGGACCACCTTCGCAATTATTATGAGGTGTGTCACATTGCTACCTCATTCGCCAAGAAGACACCGTGCAACGTCTATGAGATGCTCTGCTGGCTGACTGCTCTACCGCATCATCCAGTGTACATTGATTTGCTGTCAGATGGCTTCGATGACCTGTTTGATAAAGTGGAGAAGACAGACGCCGCCGAAAGTGATGCAGACGGTCCATCATTCACAAGCCTCGAAGACTTGTCGTTGAAGGCGTATCCACGCAACATCACGCATAGTGATCTACATGATGCCATCACACATATTACGTACATGGCTCCGACTCTGCTGACAACCGTTCTTGGTACTGGCGACGCAGAAACCACATACGCTGTTGAGTTCCATAGCAACATCCTTAATCTCACTTACCCTTCTCGCGCAGTTGATTGTCTACATACGTTCCTCGACATCCTTCGTAGATTACTGCCTGTGCTAAAATTTGTATACGGCCAGTGCGGAGTTGCAGCTAAAGAATATGGCTGGGCCAACTGCCTATATGGCAAAGATATCTCCACTACCAAATCACAGTGTACTAACCACTCAAAGTGCAAAGCAAATGACCAACCAAGCAGTCAACCAACGTGCCAGGCAAACACTAAACCAATCTGCCAACCAACGTCTCCACTAATGAGTTACCTAACCGACTCGTTACCGGGCCACTTGCCTCACCAGGTAACATCTGTTGGTTGTACATCAAAATGCTCTACGTGTCCTGGTAGTAAACCAGGAATGCCCTGCTTGACGCCGCTTGGTTTCAGAGGCTTTTCGGGTTCTACTAAGAGTGGTAGGGACCTATGTGACATACTAAACAAATTCCTTGATTATACGGAACTTAGATCTCCACTGTGTATGGTACCCATACCGCCGAAAACATTACCCGAACACTTTGATTTTGCTTTATCGCTCGTTAAGGGTTGGCATCATTCCAAAATGTCAACAACAAGCAGTATTAAGCAGCACGTTGTATCATCAATCAAACGTCTGTCCATTGATCTATATAACGAACCATCAAAACTCACAGACGCACTTCGTGATGCGTACCGTAGTAGACATTACCAATATGATGATAAGAGTCATCGTCCTCTATATGCTGACGTGTCTAGTCTAGCGATGACACCAGCGTGTAATGATCCTGTCGGAAAACCGTTGTGCGCTCCGTACCTCTCATCCATCTGCTCTGACACTTATTACTATCTTGCCCAGAAACATTCCAACCTATATCTGAACTGGGCCATTTACTTACCATGGACATTCTGGAACTTACTCAACAATTTGTACAATGCTTTCTGTGGAATCACTTGTGCAGACTGGGGATGCCGTGGATGTCTCAGAGGAGACAAGTGCAGGAGTGGCAAGCATGGTGTCGTCGAGGATGAGAAGCAAGATGCCATTTGTCAGTGTCATTCCGTTGTCGAGTGTAAAGGAGTATCATCAACATTCTACCAGTATGGATTCAGCTTCGGCGAGGCGTCGACGTTGAATGGTGAGACGCCGAAGAAGTGTTCCGATTTCTGTAGTCAATTGAGGAATGTGCTGCACTCGGAATATTTCCAGAAGCTATTCGAGGAATGTGACAATTTCCTGAAAGCAATAAGATGGCCATTTATGCTAACGTTGTTAGCCCTCTGGTCGCTGTCGCTCCTGTACCTGCTGCACATCGCCGTCGTCCGCCTCGACGTCCTGAGGATACGCTCCCACCTGCGATCACCCGCAAGCCACCGCATCGCCGCGCAGTCCCTCCTCGCCGTTGCAAAGGTTGGGAAAATAGCCAACGTCAAGTACTTCTCACCATAATCGTGCCTTCACGTGTGATCTGTGTATCACTCACTCACCCACCCACTCAACCACTCAACCACTCACCAACTAACTCACTCACTCAACCACTCACTCAACCACTCACTCAACCACCCACTCACCAACTCAACCACTCACTCAACCACTCAACCACTCAACCACTCAACCACCCACCCACTCACTCAACCACCCACTCAACCACTCACCCACCCACTCAACCACTCACATACTCAACCACTCAACCACTCAACCACTCACTCACTCACCCACTCAACCACCCACTCAACCACTCACCTCCCCTTCCACTGGTCGCTTCGCTCCCTGCCTCACCCCTCCATCACCTCCTCCGTCGGCCTCTTTCACCCAAACACTCATTTTCCACATTTTCCCTCCACCTCATAAATCGCCTATTTCCAACCCCTCTTCCTCCTTCATCGCCCTCTTTCGCCCCTTCACCTCCCTCGCCCTGTCCACCCGCCTCCCTCGTTGCCTCGCTGCCTCCTTGACCTAAAATCGCCTTTCTCCAAATTCCCCCAAATCGCCCTAAAAATGTCCTTAATAATTTCTATAATCTACTTACTAACTTGTGCTCTGGCTTGGAGAAGTTCCTTGGTTACCAAGAAACTTCCAAAGGCTACGATGGCACTGGCATCGTGTACTCGGACCTTGACAGGCTGTGTGACGGGGTGATGTCTTTCCTTCATGGTGTTTTAAGTAACATTCAGCCTAAATTAGGCCAGCATAAAGACACTTTAAATATCGCACTTAACTCACTTAACAACTCAAATAATAATGGTATTACTAAATACAAGGCGGCGATAGCCGCGGTGGCCGATGGTGTACATACATATAATGAGAAGGTGGCAGCGTCGAATGATGCTGTGAAAAGTGTTGTTACTACATTGCGTGGTGATGTGCAAAAATATTCTGAAAACATTCTTAATACAGAATTTTCAGAAAGAGCGTTGGACACTGCCATCAAAGTGGAGCACGCTGAGAAGTCTATTGATCTCAAGGTGGAAGATTGCAAGAAAAATGCACAGACATTTATCACTAACATAGACACTTCACGTAGCGACAATCCACTTAATAACGCAATTTCCGACTTAAATGCTAAATTGAAAGATAAGCTTGAGAACGTGCGTAAGACTGTAGCGTATGAGAGTGATAGGTTGGGGGAGGTGAAGGGGTATGAGCATACCGAAATGACGCAGGCGATTGAGAATGTTGAAAAAGTGATGAGTACTCTGAAAACAAACGTTGATTGTAAAATTGACACACAGGTAAAACTGTTTGTAACAAAGGTGAGGGAGCAAGTGGAACCTATATTGAAGGAGCTTAAGAAAATTAGTAAAAGTCTCCACGACTATGTAGCTGAATTGGGAAGATGGATTGACAACGCAAATTCCGCAGTTGACAAGGCGTTAGAGATGGCAAAAAAGATATTATATGAAGTGAACGAGGACGCTGTAACAAACAATCCTGGCCGAATGAAAGCTGCAATAGAGCAGATTGATATCATGATAAATCAGCTTGTGACAGCTGGAAACACGGGTCTGGATGAAGTTAGAAAGGAAGTCACCGCCGCGCTTACGGCGGTGAAAACGATGGACGGGCAGCTGAAGGAGGATTTGCACGGGGTGAGGGGGGCGATAAGTCAAGCAGTAGGGAGGATTACGGAGAAGGTGCAGAAGCTTGGGGAGCAGTTTCCTAAAATTAGCGGCGCGCCTAGCAACCTTAATGATATTTTTGAAGAGATTAAAAAGAAAGTTGAAGAAATCCAGGGAGGGCAAAGACCTGCTAAAGGACTTGGGAGCATTAAGAATGGAGTGAACGGATATCTTGGAGAGTTCAGCGTCAATTTTGCGGATAAGGTTCAGGAATGGTTGGATGATATACTGGGTAAGGAAGCGGTTAGGAGAGGCGAGCAGAAGAAAACAGGGTATCTTGAGGACTATATCACGGACTATATTAAGGAATATATTGGGGACCACCAGCGAGATGGTATTCCGTTTAAGAATGGTAAAGGGGCTCCAGATGAAATCATTAAGGAGCTTAGGGAGCAATTCCAAAAAATTCTTGGCAGTGAAGCATCTGAAGCCGGCAATTTGGTGCACCAGAAGATTCAAGAAGCCAAAGGCGCCGTTGAAAAAAATATTGAAGCAATCCATGTTGGTTGCAATATGTTTGCGACGAGGCTTGGGGAGAAACTATATACTAAAGTAACGGATATTGTTAGCGCTGTTGAGAAGGCCATACATAATGGTACGCCGGTGACTAAGAAATCCGATCTCACTTACATCGTTGAAGTTACACTCTTAGCTCTTCACTCCAAGGCCAGGCAAGCTGGCAAGGAACTTCACTCCTTCGCCCTCGATAAAACTAGGGTTAACAGAAAAGAAAGCATCGCAGCCGAGATAGATAAGGTAGTTAATATGACAAGTATTCTTTTTGAAAGTGTTAAAAATGCACACTCCAAACGCACAGGCGGCTCCTGGGAATACCCCGCCCAAGCCGTCGACCAGGCGATCAGCAACGTGACCGAGACGCTCAACCAGCAGTTGAAGCTAAATACTGACGGTAATTCAGTTGTAATTGAAGGCACTGCAGAGGGTGTCTTCCGCCTTTACAAACTGCAAGTAACCCAATCCACCCTGACCGGCGACGTCAACGAGCTTGAAGGCACCCTTCCAGACGCGATCAAGAAAATCAGGACGCAGGTGCAGAGTGCGCTGGATGATGTCGGCAATATTAATATTCACGTTGAAGAAAGGTTGAGAGAGGTCAAGGATAAGCTTAGTCTCTTATGTCGTGCCGTTAAGAATGCTGCCGAAACCGATGCGGAAAGCGCGGTGAATAAATTAAAACTATTAAAATCTTTAATTAATGACAATACAGTAGACATTAAAGCTAAGGCGCAAAAAGGCCTCAACAAAATCCACAGTGACCTCAGCAATCTCCGAAACGAACTTGTTGATAAGCCCATCGACTTGACAAACAAGCTCCTTTCATATCTCACCTCAGCCCAAAATCACTACATCAAACAACTGCAGGAAGATGTCAAAAAAGAAGTCAACTCCGCCCAATCCAAACTCACCACCCACGCGCGCAGGCAGTACGTCGAGGCCCTCAAGTTCGCGCTCCAGCAGTTCGCCGACAAGGTGACGGAGGAGTTGGAGCCTCTACCAGGCATGTTCGAGCAGGACAAACACATCGGCCTGAAGGGGTTCATGGAGGCCTTTTACGGCGCTAACTCCGGCGACAATATTAACAAGCTTAAGGATGCCGTCGATCTCCGGACTGTCTGCCATGGCTTCGAAAAATTCCTCGGGCCCCTCAACACATATATGAACATGGAAATAGACCGCCTTAAGGAGGAGGAACACAAGAAAAATCCTTCGCTTCAGAAACCTCAAGACCCGTATAGCAAACAACTTAATAATGTATACTCCTCACTTAGCACAGTAATTGGCCACATTATGAGTAATAATTATTACGATCACAACTTACCCACCAAGCTTGCTGAACTCACTGCCACACTCTCCGACCTGAAACTAGACGGCTTCCCCAACCCGGTCACAGGAATGCTGGGCGGCATCTCTGGCGGCTGTCGGCAGTTGGTGGATGTGCTTGGCGACGTGTACATCTCGAAGTATGACGGCCTGACTATAGAGTGGGAGAAAGTCGACACCAGTAAAAAAGCGTCAACTCCAGATGGCCCTGAGAATAAGATTCCGACCGATGACGCCAACAGATGTGCCAAGGTGTTCCTCACTTGTATGTACACCCTTTTCGATAAGTTGCATCGCTTGTTCTTTAATGGCGGTAAAACGTGGGCTTCACTTAAAATTGATGGCAGTGGTGATGCAAAAAAGAAATATGAATTGAAAAAATATTTCATGCATGAAGGCTTCGAAATTCAAAACCTTGTCACCAAGGAAAACACCGGCAAAGACGTTGCCTTCAGATTGAGCAGAGCCTTCAGTCGTTACCAGACGTTTAACAAGGACCCAAATGAATTTGACTCTTTCGATTTATACATAGCCCACTTCAGAAAATATGAAGGTCTTTTATCCAGACTCTTCGAACACCTGGAGACGTACAATGAAGTGTGTCACTTTGCCACATTCTCCTCCACGAAGCATCCTTCTTCCATCTACGAAATGCTCGCATGGTTCTCAGGCCTCCCGTACAGTTCCGTGTATGACTCTTTGCTCCACGACGTTTTGCCGTCGCTGTTTGAAGGCCCAAGTAAGAAGCCCGCAGACGACGATGAGATTGAAGTGACAGATCTCGGCGAAGAATCATTTGACGCATATCCGCAACCAATAACATACAGTAGTTTAGCAACGTCTCTCAACGATGTCTGCGCACAATCCTATGACGTATTGACCGGTGTCCTCGGATACGGTTACGCAGGCGGTGTCTACGCCTGTGATCATTCCAACAACACCCTTAACCTAGCATATCCTAGCAGCGCTAGTGCCTGCTTAGGCATGCTGGTAGATGTAATGAATAGACTTTTCTTTCAACTTTATTTCCTGCTTACACAGTGTTCACACAATACCGATTATAGCGGTTGGTCAAACTGCTCGTACGGTCAGGGTGTCGGCAACTCTGGATGGCAATGCAATGACAACCAATGTGCCAACCAAACTTGTCCCCAAAAGGCTATCCAAAGTACTAACCAAAAGTGCAACCAACACCCAAAGTGCGGTGTAAAGTCACCACTTCAGTCGTACCTTGAAGATAGCCTCCCCGGCTTCCTGCCGCATACATTTTCCAATGTTGGCTGCGGAGTGAAATGCTCAGTTGGCAATCACTTTGGCAAACCGTGCATAACACCAATGGGATTTACTGATATTAGTATTAAAGCGTCACACACGAAAGAAGGGGAGTATCTCCAAAAGGTGCTTGAGAAATTCTGTGGCAAGGCAGAGAGTCCACTCACTAAGCTGTGTAGCCAGTTAAATTGTCTCTTGCCTACCGCTCCTAAAACACTAGGCGATATGTTTAGTTTCTATTACAATTTCCTTCGTGACTGGAATAGGAACACACCACATAGGAAGGGTGCATTTGAAGAGGCTATTAGTAAGGCCAATTTCAAACGTCCTTACGAAGACTTGAATGCCCATTTTATATTCGGCGGTAGTCACCCTCATAAGCAGGCCAACGCCGATCTCGTTAGTCTCGTTTGCTCTTCAGCTACAAGGGGTAAATGTGGTCCCTATCTACATGCTCTAAATACTGATATTAGCAGTATGTATTCTAAAGAACATGGTGGCAAATATCTATCGTGGATAGTGTACAGCACGGAAACGTTTTATAATTTACTGCATCAGTTATATGATGACTGCTGTAGTACGTGTGGCGGTGATAAGCCAAAATGCCGAATTGCTAAATGCCCACAAAACTGCAGTGTTGGAGGGAAATCGGCAACGTCACCTCACGATGCGTCCTGCAATTCCATTGCAAAGTGCTCGCATACCCGTCCAATAATGTACAAATTTGGGTTTGTACATGAGAACGTGGCAAAGCTGGCTGGTGAAACAACTAAACGTACGTGCACAGACTTTTGCCACGTTTTGAAGAAAGTAATCGGCGAAGGATGTGCACTTGTAAAACTCATCGAAGACATCGATAAATATATATGGGCTATAAGAGAGAAATTCTCCTACCTGTTGTTAGCCCTCTGGTCGCTCTCTTTGCTCTACCTGCTGCACATCGCCGTCGTCCGCCTCGACGTCCTGAAGATACGCTCCCACCTGAAATCACCCGCAAGCCACCGCATCGCCGCGCAGTCCCTCCTCGCCGCCGCACGCATCAACTCACTCAGCAAGTTAGCGTACCTGAAACCATAATCGTGCCTTCACGTGTGATCTGTGTATCACCCACTCACCCACATACTCACTCAACCACTCAACCACTCACCCACTCAACCACTCAACCACCCACCCACTCACTCAACCACTCAACCACTCACCCACTCACTCACCCACTCAACCACCTAATCACTCACTCACCTAATCACCCACTCAACCACTCAACCACTCAACCACTCAACCACTCAACCACCCAACCACCCACTCACTCAACCACCCAATCACTCACTCACCCACTCACCCACTCACTCACCCACACACTCACCCACACACTCACCCACTCAACCACCTAATCACTCACTCACTCAACCACTCACCCACTCAACCACCCACCCACCCACTCAACCACCTACTCACCCACTCACCTAATCACTCACTCAACCACTCACCAACTCAACCAACCACTCACTCACATACTCACTCAACCACCCACCCACTCACTCACTCACCCACCCACCCACTCACCCACTCACCTCACTCAACCACTCACCAACTCACTCAACCACTCACCAACTCACTCACCCACTCAACCACTCAACCACTCACATACTCACATACTCACCCACTCAACCACCCACCCACTCACCCACTCACCTCACTCAACCACTCACCAACTCACCCATCCACTCACCTAACCACCCACCCACTCAACCACCTAATCACCCACTCAACCACTCACCCACTCACCCACCCACACACTCACCCACTCAACAACCCACCCACTCACCCACTCACCCACATACTCACCCACTCAACCACTCACTCACCCACTCACCTCCCTCCTTCACTGGTCGCTTCGCTCCCTCCTCCCTCCTCCATCACCTCCTCCGTCGGCGTCCTTCACCCAAATCCTCTTTTTCCACCTTCCCCCTCCACCTCCTTTGTCGCCTCTCTCCACCCATCTTTCCCATTCATCGCCCTCTTTCGCCCCTTCACTTCCCTCGCCTTGTCCACCCACATCCCTCGCCCCCTCGCTGCCTCCTTGACCTAAAATCGCCTTTCCCCAAATTCCCCCAAATCGCCCTGAAAATGTGCCTAAAATAATTTTTCAACATTTGTCAACTTCTTCACTTTCCTCTTATTAGCCCTCTGGTCGCTGTCGCTCCTGTACCTGCTGCACATCGCCGTCGTCCGCCTCGACGTCCTGAGGATACGCTCCCACCTGAGATCACCCTCAAGCCACCGCATCGCCGCCCAGTCGCTACTCGCCGCCGCACGCGTTGGGAAAATAGCCAACGTCAAGTACTTCTCACCATAATCGTGCCTTCACGTGTGATCTGTGTATCACCCACCCACTCACCCACTCAACCACTCAACCACCTACACACCCACTCACCCACTCACCCACTCACTCACTCACACACTCACCCACTCACTCACCCACTCAACCACTCACCCACTCACCCACTCAACCACTCACCCACCCACTCACTCAACCACCCACCCACTCAACCACCCACTCAACCACCCACTCAACCACCCACCCACCTCCCTCCTTCACTGGTCGCTTCGCTCCCTGCCTCACCCTCCATCACCTCCTCCGTCGGCGTCCCTCACCCAAACTCCTCATTTTCCGCTATCCCCCTCCACCCCTAAAATCCCCTTACCTCAACCCATCTTCCCCCTCCATCGCCCTTTTTCGCCTCCTCACTTCCCTCGCCCTGTCCACCCACCTCCCTCACTGCCTCACTGCCTCCTTCACCTAAAATCGCCTTTCCCCAAATTCCCCCAAATCGCCCTAAAAATGTGCCTAAAATAATTCCCTTAATTTACTTATTAACCTGTGCTCTGGCTTGGAGAAGTTCCTTGGTTACCAAGAAACTTCCAAAGGCTACACTGGCGAAGGCATCGTGTACTCCGACGTTGACAGGCTGTGCGACGGGGTGATGGCGTTCTTGCACGGGGTGTTGGAGAGTGTTAAGGGTGATGAGAGTGTTACAACATACAATGAATACATTGATTCACCTAAAATAAATAATGTTATTGACACTCTTAGCACTTCTGTAGGTAAAGGCCGTGAGGCCTTCCAGGCCGCCGTGCGTCAGGTAAGTGGGTGGTTGAACAGACATGGTGCGCAGGTGGAGGAGAGGACTGGAAGAGTTACAAGGCATTTGGAGGCACTTAAACACAACATAACCACAGACAAATCTAATATAGATAGAGAAAGTATTAATGATCTTACATACCTAGTTAGTGAGTGGAGTAAGCGTGCCAAGGTGTATGTTACCATGGCACAGCAGGCCGATGAGGCCAGGGAGGAGTTGGATCCACAACTTTCAGGTAAGTTAGATAAACATGTTTCATTGGTTGTGCAGGTGACGGAGACATTTAAAATGGAAGCGGAGAATGGAGATCTTGACACGATGTTCAAGCTGGCGGGGGAGAAAATGGGAGAGGTGACTGGTCAGGTGGCGAGAATAGCTGAGGAGAAAAGCAGGAGCCTTAGAAGGTATTTGAAACATCATATTGGAAAATTGCGTACGAAATTACACGAGTTGCGTATTGGCAAATTTAAAGGTCTGCAAGACTCTGTCGATAAGGATCTTCAATATGCTTTTAATACGGTGAGCGGTGCATTGGCTAATCTTAATGATAGGTATACAAGTGATGTATCTAGCCCACTTGAACGTATTTTGGCGGAAGCGTCGGCGGTTTTGGAGGGGGTTCAACGGGACAAGAATGCACTTAAGGATCAAGTAAGCAGTTTGAACACGCGGATGAGTGGACTTCTAGCAGCCGCAGCGGATGTTAAGAGTAAGGTGCCGACGGAATTTTCAGCGTTCAACAACATAATGGGTGATTGGACTGTATCAACTCAGATTTGGCCGCTCACTCAAGCAATAAAAATGAACGTCGGGAATTATTTGGAGAGTTTGAAGAGTGATCTGGCGCAAGCTGTGAGTGTGGCAATAGAAAGTAATCCAGTTGGGGGCAATTATCCCGGTCTTAAAGCTTTGCAAGGTACTGATTTGTGGAAGGTGCAAGAGGTATCGAGGTGGATTGATGGTCCAATGAGAGATCCAAGTCCAACTGGACCTGGTGCGAAATTAGAAAGGGTTCTGAATAATCTTCACGGCGCCAAGAGAGAATGGAGTAGCATAAGATCAAACATATCCTTCAACATCTTCAACGGCATCAAAGAGGAATTCGGCAAGAAGGCCACCAACGCCGAAGTGGAAGAAAAACTCTTCAACCTCCTCAAAGCCACGGCGGACGAAGCCATAAATAAGCTGCAGGCAGCGGTGACAAAGATCGTCGGTGATCAAAGGAATACAAAAGATACGCTCGATGGAATTAAAAAAGCGCTTACAGCGCTTCAATCTAAAGAGGAATCCGGCGTAACCACAGCCGCCGACGGCGGCCAGTCTCCACTTGAGAAGAAAGCCTTCGACCTTCACAAAATGATCGAAAGCTTTTTGACCGATAAGGTTGGAAAAAATATAGACGACCATCATCCCAAAGAAGGCACTGTATACAAGGATTTACTGAAACTTAAAAAGGATGTCAACGATCTTGGGGAGAAAGTCAAGGAAATTAAGAATAAAATCACACCTGTCAGTGAGGATCTTGAAATGTGCATTTTAGACGCCAACGCAGTGCTTACAAATGCGCCAATGGAGACAAACAAAATCATTAATCAGCTACGTGATGAAGTCAATTCGTACATCGGATCAGAGTTCCGAGAAATGAAAGCCAAAGCCAAGTCCCTCTACACCGCCCGCAAGACACAGGAAGTCACAGCCCTGCAGAAGATCGTGGAGAAGGAGTTTAATGATATTAAAATTATAATCAACAACGACAAGATTCTCGGCCTTAAGAATCTTCTAACTAATCTTAAAAAGAAATTTGTTGATACACTGCATCCTTTTGCTCAGACCCTATCTACATCTCAAGCCCCGGCAGAGCAGAAAAAGCTTGCCGACCTGGCGCAAAAAGTCAGCGCGTGCTTCCAGACATTTTTAGCAGAAATGCAACAACAAGGCGACATTATTCTCCTGAGACCGTATTTACATCAATTGTCAAATGCTATCAACACATTACTCAATCCACTTACTCACTACAATCATAGGTTTAGTGTAGATTTAGAGAGTCTCAAAACGGCTCTTGCCGACATACATATGTCCTTATATTACGGCAACACAAAAATGATATCAACGGTTCTAAAACACGCACTTAACGAATTTGCTGCCGAGTTGGATAAGGCCTACATTAGTAGGTACACCGAGGAGACGTTTGCGGAAAAATTAGTGAAAAACTTCAAGACTGTTGTTACCCCGCAGAACTCCTACGATACGTATGACGTAACTGAGCAGGGGACCAAACTATCTTATGTGTGTCTAACCATTTTCCAAATAATTCACCGACACCTTAGTACGCTTCTTGATGGGTGTGATAATGAATGGAGAGCCCTGAAAACCAATTTAACTGGCCATAATTCCCTTGCAACGTTCTTTGAAAGTTGCGGTTACGAGGTGTCCGATTCTACAACTGTGCACAATGGTGAATTGAGAAACAATATGAAGGGTGAAGAGATACTTACCAAACTCAAGACTGAAAATATATTTGGATCCAATTTATTAAAAGGCCCCGCAATAGATGTATCCTACTACCTCAAGCTGTATTGCAGAGTATGTCACATCTCCACATTCTCCTCCAAGAAGCATCCATGTTCTGTATTCGATATGCTTTGTTGGCTTAACGGCCTCCAGTTTAATCGCGCATACAGTGTAGTTCGCGACCACATTAAAACTATGTTCCCTAAACCTAAAAATTATGAAGATAGAGAATATATAGACATTCCCCCCAAAGATCTTACGTTCCATGCTTATCCTGATGTATTCACCGCTGCTAATATGCAGGCAACGATCCGCGATATATCCCGCCAGGCTCACGACGTCCTCACTACCATTGTCGGTACCGGAGACGCGAGCACAATGTATGCCTGTGAGTACTCCAACAATACACTTAATTTCTCGTATCCCAGTGATTCCGCCACTTGCTTCGACATGCTCATTAGCATCTTCCGTAAGATATTACCAACTCTAAGATTTTTAGAGCAGATGTGCCATCTCAAAACCGAATATTACGGTTGGTCGCGGTGTGCATATGGAAATGGCGTTCAGACATCGTGTTCGCAGTGCGGTCAACACTCCACTGTTCATCCATCTCCTAGTCACGAATGCTCTGTTACTTCACCACTGCACTTGTATCTCACTGATGGTCTAAGAGGCATGTTGCCTCACGAACTAACCAATGTTGGATGTAAATCAGTATGTTCCTCCTGTCCCAAATCCGCACCCGGAATGCCCTGTCTTACGCCTCTCGGCTTCACATCTTTCTCCGGAAGCAAGCGCACAGGCAGCGACCTATGCAAAGTGCTAACCAAATTCCTAAGTAACGACTATGTTAAATGCCTCTTCACGCTGTCCCCCAAAGCGCCAAGTACGTTACCAGAGCACTTAAGTTACCTGATAAATCACTTTGGCGGTTGGCAGCAAAATCCACCAACGAGCAAAAATGGTCTCCAATTAGCTTTCGAAAAGTCTATGAAAAAGCTGTCCATCGATCAAGTCAGCGATGCAAACAAACTAGGTACTACACTTAGAAATATGTATGGTTTCAAAAATACCAAAAACGGAGTCACCATACCTCACCCAGACGACAATCATACAGACTTAATTAGTGTGTGCCTACCGCAGAACATGACAAGTTGCGCTGGTCGAGATTACCGCTGTGCTCCATACCTCTCATCACTCACCAATGATTCCTATTATTGCATGGCCACTAAGCACGCTGACCTGTATTTATCATGGGCTATCTACTTGCCATGGAACTTGTGGGATCTTCTCAAACGCCTACTTGATGCCTTTCAGAGCATTGATTGTAAAAGTTTCGGGTGCTCTGCCTATTCCACCAAGCCAGGTAAACACGGTGTCGACTTCAACTGCAAGTGCAAGGCGTTGACACGTTGTCGAGGCGTACTGCCGACATTTTACCAATACGGTTTTACATTCGGAAATCCCCAAATGTTATTAGATGGTGCCACCAGGAAATTCTGCACTGATTTCTGCACTCAAATGCGCAATGTCCTACATTCCAAGTATTTCCAGATACTATTTGAAGAATGCGACAATTTCCTATGCACTATCAGATGGCCATTTATGCTAACGTTATTAGCCCTCTGGTCGCTGTCGCTCCTGTACCTGCTGCACATCGCCGTCGTCCGCCTCGACGTCCTGAGGATACGCTCACACCTGAGATCACCCTCAAGCCACCGCATCGCCGCGCAGTCCCTCCTCGCCGCCGTACGCGTCAAGGCACTCGCCAACGTCAAGTACTTCTCACCATAATCGTGCCTACTCAACCACCCACTCAACCACCCACTCAACCACCCACTCACCCACTCACCCACCCACCCACTCACCCACTCACCCACTCACCCACTCACCCACCCACTCACCCTCCTTCACTGGTCGCTTCGCTCCCTGCCTTCACCCCCTCCATCACCTCCTCCGTCGGCGTCCCTCACCCAAATCCTCATTTTCCACATTTTCCTTCCACCCCTAAAATCGCCTCTTCTCAACCCATCTTCCCCCTTCATCGCCCTCTCTCGCCCCTTCACTTCCCTCACACCCTCCACCCACCTCCCTCACTGCCTCCTTGGCCTAAAATCGCCTTTCCCCAAACTCCCCCAAATCGCCCTGAAAATGTGCCTAAAATAATCCACATTATTTATTTATGACCCTGTGCTCTGGCTTGGAGAAGTTCCTTGGTTACCAAGAAACTTCCAAAGGCTACGACGGCACTGGCATCGTGTACTCGGACCTTGACAGGCTGTGCGACGGGGTGATGTCTTTCCTTCATGGTGTTCTTGAGAGTGTGAGGGATGATGATAACGTTAAAACGTATGATACTAAAAGGCTTTTTAATGATCTTCCTGCTTCAATCAGTAAGTTGATGCATAAAGGTTCTAATAAGTTTCAGGAAGCCATCACACAAGTCTCCGAGGCGCTCGGGGCGTGGAGCGGTGAGCTGGAGAGGCGAACCGACGCACTTAGAGACAAACTTACCACAGTTAGCACATCTAAAATTGACATCTTTAATAGCGCACTTAATGATCTTAATAATGGCCAACCTGAGCATGTTGCTAACCACTTAGACACTTGTATCATAAGAGCCAAAGAGCTTGACAACGCCTTTAAGGAGGCGGAAGAAAAGTACAATAACCTTGATCCTGGGCTTCGGCAGAAGCTTAAGGACCATATGCATCGTGCTAAATTAGAGGTTGCTAAATTCGTTGCCGCTGCCAGCGATGACCCTCTGAAGGCCGTCGTCGAGACGGCTGGAAGGAGGTTGGGGACTTTGGAGACTAGAGTGAAGGATCACATCTTTCACAGTGTAAAAGGTATGCAAAGGAAGATTGATGAGGAATTTAAGAACAAAATTCAGGATCCCATTACCAAGGTCAAGGAGGATTTGACTCTGGTTAAGAGCAATTTGGATACTTGGATCGATAGGGCCAATGATGTTTTTGCTGCGGCATTCAAGAAGGTTGAGAAAATTATGAAGGTTCTTGCCGGTAAAGAAGGAGACAGTGAACCCAAGAAAAGAGACGCCGTGACAACGGCGGCCTATAAATTGCAGAAGAGGGCGGATAGCCTTCGCGAGAGTTACGAGTTGGCCAGGAGCCAAGTGCTTGATGCTGCTAGCAAAGCTCAGCAGGCCGTAGATGGTTTGACTACGGAGCTTAAGACGGATTTGGCAAATTTGAAACAGGGGATTACTAAGGCTGTTACAGACTATGCTAAGGGGTATGTTGGGAAAGTTAGGGAGCAAGTGGAGAAGATTAGAGGAAGGACGGAGCGTACAGAAACAACAGGCCTGCAGGGATTTGTGCAACACGTGAGGGATACGTATGCTAATGGTTTCAAAAAAGGGGAGAAAGGATTTGAGCAGAAAGTAGAGGGATGGCTAGATGGAATACTAGAGGGTGATACAGTAAAAGAACACATTAAGGGTTATGCTGAACATACCAATAACAGTGGCCGTTTTCGAAATGGATTCACAACTGTAGACGAAATCACTCCTAAAATCAAGGACAGAATTATGGAGGCCATTAGAGGGGATATTCACACGGCTCAGAGCGAAATTACGGAACTGAATGACAAGATTGGGGATAATGTTAAGAAGGCATACGATTGCATGATTGCATTTGCCGCGTTACTGGATGGGGGTATTAAGGGTCAGAAAAGAATTAAAGCGACTGATATCGTTATGAAAATCAGAAAAGATGTCGTGTCAAATGAGAATGGTAATTACGAGGAATATCAACTCACTAGGGCAGTAGACGTTAGCATAGCAGCTCTCGTCGCCACTGTTAATCAAGCATGCAATGAGCTTCAGTTGTTTACTGGTTATGACGGTGGGGAGCAATCCGAAATCCAGAAAGTTGACATATCTTATGAGGCAGCTAAGGGGCTGTGGAGTAATCTTAACGATGCGCTCAATGGCGGTACCAGCCACACGCTCCATATGTCCAATTTATCGGTTGATATTGCCGATAAACTTGAGACTACGATTAATGATAAAGTTGAGCATTGTTTTCAGATGTCGCATCCGGATAGTGGTGATGCAGGTGACGGTATAGACCTTGGCCGTCTCGCGAAGCAATATAATTGGCAGAAAAGACACGCTGTCGATGGCAGATGGAAAAGGATGAACGAGACAATTCCTCTGCTTGTACTAACCAATGCGAAAAGCAATGGTGAAACGTATATATCAGTTGCAGAAGAAATCGCTGGTCTCCACTCCGAGTTTGACACAGCCTTCAAGGCTTTTATTCAAGCCGTTGAACGGCTTATCAAGAAGGACAATGGTGCAACTCAAAACAGTCTATATCACTACTTGGCGGATTTGAACAGCATTGTTACGGAGAATAAGGTGTGCTCCCTTGAGTCCGATGTAACCGGGCAAGCCCATGGCCTCCAGAAAATTTACAGGGACCTTGTAAAGATCCTCGGAAATTCCAAGGTTCCCAAACCCAACCCAGATGGTAACATAACAACCATAGTAAAGAACGCCGAAGAATTCTATAAAACAATCGCGACGCAAGCTGACAAAGTGTTCACCGACCTACAAAGTTATGTAACCACCCAAGTCCAGAACGCCACAGCCGACATCCAAGACGAAGCTAAAAAGCAGTATCACGGCAAAATTCATCCCATGTTCGAGTCGATGAAAGCAAACGTGTCCGCCCATGTCAAAGACATAAATAACACCATAGACGACGATTTGAAGAGCGGAGTAAAAGGCCTTTTAAGGCAGGTGATGGATCATGCCAATACAGGTACTAAAAGCCGGAATAACAAGCTGGATAAATTAAAACAATATACGAACCCAAAAGATCACGAAAGCGTCAAGAACCTGTCAAATGATTTACGAGAATATTTAAAACCAATTGTGAATCATGTCGAAAATGAAGCGATGACTCCGGGTACGCCGGGCGCAAAAGGCCCGGCCTCAGAGAAGCAGGAAAATAAGGTGTCTAGAAAGGTCAATGAGATTCATGGGCACGTTGGCCAATTGCTCGGTCACCTGAAGAAAAACGGGGAAAGGAAATACAATTACGATCACGACTTTGTCAAATTGTTCCAAGAGCTCAAGACGTCCGTCAGCAGCCTGTCGCCTCCCACGTTCGACGGTTACAATAATGCTCTCCTATCAGATGCCATAAAGGCCGGCATAAATGGGTTCAACAAGGAGTTGGATAAGGCGTACGTGAATGCGTACGCTGGGAAGGAGATTAAAACATGGACGGAAAAGGACGGCGACGGCCGTAAGGCCGCCAAAATCCTGGTCACCATCATGAAGCTTTTAGATGACGATTTGACAGATTTGCGACACGAATGCAAAAATGGTTGGAAGGAGAAAAGGATTTGCCTTGTTTCCAAGCCTAACAAGCCTAATCCCCTCGGCGCATTTTTCCAGGACTGCGGCTACAGGGTGTCCAAGTTGGAAGAGCCCTATGAAGGGGAGCTGAGATGTCAGCATGAGATGAGGGGGGGAGACGTTTTCGGGAAACTTGTTGCTTCGCTGCAAGATGTCAACAAAATTGCTCATCTCGTTAAATGCCCATCATTTAAAGAAATTACAGATGACGTAAATATCATAGACCTACTTAAATGTCTCACATCTCACGTCAGTGAGTATTACCAATCTTGCCACATTCAGATACAGAAATCCAAAAGGTATCCGTGTTCCGTTCGTGATATTTGTGTATGGCTTTCCGGCCTTCCTCACACTGCAGTTTATGGTAAAATAGATGGGCATTGTGATAAGTTGCTTAACCAGGAAGACGAAGCGACGAACACATTCCCCAACCAGGCCGATACAGTCATGAAGAGATCCTTAGATTACCTTCATGGTAACATTAAAACTTTATGTCACTTGGCACCTAAAATATTAGTCTCCATCCAGGGCCACGGCAGTGGCCTTAACCACGCTGCGTACCCGTATGCCTGTTGCTTAGAGAATAACCACGGACAATTCTATTACCCCGGTGATCCGTCGTCGTTGCTTGACATGTTGAAAGATATGTGTAGTCGTTTGTTGCGTGCACTGTGCTTCTTATACCAACAATGTAGGTACACAGCATCCGACGGCAACGGGTGGCGTGAGTGTCAATATGGTTATCGCGTCGGCACCTACCAGTGGGTCTGCGGCAAGTCAAGCAGCGAACCAAACACACAACCAAAGTGCCAACCAAATAGTGAACCAAATGGCCAACCAAAGTGCTTACCAAAGTCCCCGCTTCAGGCCCATCTTATGGATGGCCTTCCTGGTTTCATGCCACATAAGTTCACAGCTGTCGGTTGCCAGCCCATGTGCTCAACGTGCCCTAAGGGCTCACTGGTTGGGCAGTGTATCACCCCAATGGGCTTTGCTGATTTGGCAACTGCGGGGTCTATTACAGGCCGTGGCGAAGATCTTATTTATCTGCTTGGCACGCTTTGTAAAAACGGCGGCTCAGTCCTATGTGAATTGGTACATTCATTACAGTGCATATCGCCCTCTCCACCGAAGGGCTTGGCAGAGATGTTCTCGTACTTCTGTAACGTAATGCAGAAATCGTACGGTTCCTTGTATGGTCATGAAGATACATTCAAGGGGGAAATTGACAGTGCTATTAATAATAGTTTCCCATTCCGAACGTCGCTGCATAATGATTACCAACCTAGCGATCTCACCGCTAAAATAAAGGAACTGTGTGGCCCTGAAGGTAAACACACAGCAGTACTCCTCGACAAAAGTCATTGTGACCTTTGGAGCATATCGCAAAATTCTAGTACTGTTGATTTAAGAGACTGTCCTCTTAAAAACACTACCTGCGCTCCCTACCTCAAAGCACTCTGCCACGACGCCTGTCACACATATCCTCAGAAACATAAAGCCTTGTATCTGTCATGGCTTTGCCGGTTGGCATGGACATTCTGGGATTTGCTTGATCAGTTGCTCAAGGCGTTCAATAACATATCCTGTCAAACATATGGATGTCAATGTAAATGCGGCTTTGGTAAACACGGCGTCACTGAGGAAGATACATCGCAACCTCCAAAAGTTCCGACGCCTCCCAAAACAAGTTGCCACTGCAATTCAATAGTCCAGTGCAAAGGCGTAATGTCAACATTCTACCTGTACGGATTCACATTCGGAATGCCGAAAGAGTTGATGGCATCCGGTAGCAAGAAGACATGTGACAATTTCGTAAAGCAGTTAACAAGAGTGCTGCACAAAGGATACTTCAAAGATTTATTTGATGAAATTGACAATTTCATCTGGGCAATACGCACACCCTTCTCCTACCTCTTGCTAGCCCTCTGGTCGCTGTCGCTCCTGTACCTGCTGCACATCGCCGTCGTCCGCCTCGACGTCCTGAGGATTCGCTCCCACTTAAAATCACCCTCAAGCCACCGCATCGCTGCACAGTCCCTCCTCGCCGCCGCACGCGTCAGGGCACTCACCAACGTCAAGTACTTCTCACCATAATCGTGCCTTCACGTGTGATCTGTGTATCACCCACTCACTCAACCACCCACTCAACCACCCACTCAACCACTCACTCAACCACCCACTCACTCACTCAACCACTCGCCACCCGCCCACTCAACCACTCCACCACTCATGCTCACGCATCGCCTGCTCGACCATCGGCCATCGACCACTCGCTCGATCGCCGCTCATCGCCGCTCATCGACCGCCTGATCACTCATCGCCTGACCATCTGCCCATCGATACCCGCTCGCTCGCGCCATCGACCGCCTGATCGCCCATCATTGCCCGCTCGCCCATCGACCGCCGCTCATCATCGCGCGTATCGCCCATCGATTGCCATCGACCATCGTGCCTACTCATCGCCCATCGCCCACTCGACCATCGACCGCCCTCATCGCGCTCATCGTGCCTGATCATCATCGCCTGACCATCGATGCGCCCATCGATATCGCCCATCGCCATCGACCGCCTGATCAGCATCGACCGCCCATCGCCCATCATCGACCCACTCATCATCGCCCGCGTATCGCCCATCGATGCCCATCGACCATCATATATAAATCGCATCGCCCATACATCGACCGCCCATCGACCATCGCCCATCGACCAACGCTCGCTCAACTCGCCGCCCGCCCATCGGCCATCGCCCGCCCGCCGCTCGTCATCATCGGGCGCTCATCGCCTGATCATCGCCTGATCATCGCCCGCCGCCGCCTGGTTTCTCGCCCATCGCGTATCTCATCGCCCATCGATAAAACATCGATGCTCGCCCGCTCGATAGCTCATCGACCGCATCATCGACCGCACATCATCGGCCATCGACCGCTCATCGACCCATCGACCCTCAATCGCCATCAACCATCGCCCATCGACCGCTCGCTCATCGCCTGCCATCGGCCATCGACCATCACCGCTCATCGGCATCGACCGCTCATCACCGCCCATCACCACCCACTCACTGATCGCGTCGCTCTCATCATCGCCCACTCTGCTCCCTCGCGGTTCGGCTGACCATCGCCTCCATCACATCAGGTCGGTCCTTATTTAGATCATCGTTTTCCGCCTTCATCCACATCCAACCGCCTTCCTCATCCTTCTTCATCATCCATCGTATCTTTCGCTCCTCACCTCCTCGCCTTTCCACCCACCTCCTCACTCCTCGCTGCCTCCTTGACCTAAAATCGCTTTCTCGATTCCCCAGATCGCCCTAAAGTGTTGCAAAATGATCATTCGGCGTTTCTCGGCTTCTTCTATCTTTTTTTTGTTGCTGGCCCTCTGGTTAAGCTCTCGCTCCTGTGCCTGCTGCGCAGTCGCCTCGACGTCCTGGGGATACGCTCACCTGGGATCGCCCGCAGCCACGGGATCGCCGCACAGTCCTCCTCGCCGCCGCGCCGTCAGGACGCTCATGACGTCAGGTGCTTCTCATGCGTGATCGTTGCTTCGCGCTCACCCGCTCACTCACCCCATCGGCCGCTCGGCCATCGGCCATCGACCGCCCATCATCGACCATCGACCATCGGCCATCGACCGCCCGCCGCTCATCGACCGCTCGCCTGTTCACTCACGCTCGCCCGCTCGACCATCGCTCCGCCCGCTCCGCGCCCGCCCGCTCATCGCTCCTCGCCCCACTCGACCATCGCCGCCCGCCGCTCATCATCCTTGCTGGTTCGGCTGCGTCCAGCATTCGCCCACTCCATCGCATCATCAGGTCGGTCATTCCCAGATCATCGTTTTCCGCTACATCGCATCAGTCGCCTCTCCTCGTCCCGTCTTCATCATTCGTCGCCCTCTTTCGGCCTTCGCATCCCTCGCCCTGTCGCCCACCTCCTCACTTGCATCATCACCTAAAATCGTGGCTTTCTCCCCAAATCGCCCTGAAGTGCCTAAAGATGATTTTCGGCGTTTGTCGGCTGTTCGCTTTCTTATTAGCCCTCTGGTTAAACGTCGCTCCTGTACCTGCTGCGCATCGCGGTCGTCCGCCTCGACGTCCTCGGGATGCGCTCATGATCGCCTTCAATCGCGCCGCGTCGTGCGCGGTCATCCTCGGCCGCCGTCAGGACTCATGCCGACGTCAGGTGCTATCGTCATCGATCGTTGCGTTGATCTGCGTAATCACTCGCCACTCCTGATCGCCGCTCACTCACTCTCACTCGGCCACTCGACCATCGCCACCCGCCCACTCCTCTGCCGAATCGCACTCACCGCCTGCTCGCCCATCGACCGCCCCGCGCCCGCCCGCGCTCGCCTGATCGCCCGCTCGACCGACCGCTCGCGCCCCCTCGACCATCGACCGCCCTGTTCGCGCTCACCACTCAACCACTCACTCAACCACCCACTCAACCACTCAACCACCCACTCAACCACTCACCCACTCACTCACCCACCCACTCAACCACTCACTCACCTCTTTCACTGGTCGCTTCGCTCCCTGCCTCCCCCCTCCATCACCTCCTCCGTCGGCGTCCCTCACCCAAATCCTCATTTTCCACCTTTCCCCTCCACCTCCTAAACCGCCTCTATTCATCCCATCTTCCTCCTTCATCGCCCTCTTTCGCCCCTTCACCTCCCTCGCCCTGTCCACCCACCTCCCTCGCTGCCTCACTGCCTCCTTGACCTAAAATCGCCTTTCCCCAAATTCCCCCAAATCGCCCTGAAAATGTACCATTTCACCTCCCTTTACTCCTTTTACCTCTCCCTTAATCCACCTTCAATCCAAATACAGTGCCCATTATTCCGAAGTACATGGGTCTGAGTCTAAAAGACAGAGTGGTGAGAAGGATCTTGCTGAGCGGCGCATCTCTCTTGGTAACCTTGCTGGACAGCTTTCGGGTTTTGTCGGCGGTGGAGAGGAAGTCAAAAATGCAATTTTGAAGGGTTTGCACAGTAATGTAAATCAGCTTGAAAAGCTTTTAAATGCATCTTGCGGAGGAGAGGGGTGTTGTCGGACTGATAAAATTACGCTTAATACATATAATGAGAGTCTTAAAAAACATCTTAAAGATGAACAAAAAGCCTCTGAAAAACTTGTTGACATCCTTTCTGAGTGCAAGTTAAATGGTCTTGATGGTCCCTTAAAACAGCTTAATGTGGAAATTACTCAAAAAATTGAGGAGCTTGAAAAAGAAATTGAAAGCCTTAAAAAGCTTGATAAAGATGCTGAAAAGGCTGGTCAAAAGCCTAAAAATGCCTCTGAAGTTGACAAACTTAATAAGGATCTCCAGTCTCATAATGCCTCCAAGAAGTCTCTTGATACACTGAAAGAGCTTTGTGGATATGCTGATAAAATTCAAAAAAATGATGTTGACCAAAATTCTTCCACAGATATTCTTAAAAATCTCACTGAAGGTTTGGAAAAGTTTTTAGGTTACAATAAAGATTCCAAAGGCTACTCGGGCGATGGCATCGTGTACTCGGACCTCGACAGGCTCTGCGACGGGGTGATGGCGTTCTTGCATGGAGTTTTAAATGAAGTTCATACAAATGATAATCTTCAAAAATATAATACTCCTTTAACTGTGCCACTTCAAAAAATTACTGAAGCTCTCTATAATAGAAAAAATTTTGATAGTAGTATTCGCGTTGTGAGCGATGGGATTAAGCAGTGGGTGAGCGGGGTGGATGGAAAGCATAGAGAGGTGATGAGGCCGTTGGAGAGTTTTAAAAGCGATGTTCAATATCATATTAATGCTTATATGGAAGACAAGACAATTACTGACCAACTAAAAAATTGGCTGAGCATTTCAGGTCTTTACCTCCAAGAGGTACAGAAATCCGAAAAGGCTTTAGATCAAATTGACGACAATCTCAGAGGTAAGATAGACTCTAAAATATCGTTTGTGAAACAGGTTGTGGAGAATTTTGGCGCAGCGGTGAACGATCGCAATGTGCAACTTTTTGTTGAAGCGGTAAATAACAAGCTGACAGAGCTCCCGAAAAGCGTTAACATAGAAATTGGGACAAAAATACAGACGTTGCAAAAAGCACTGAATGAACGTTTTGATCAGATAGGCCGCAATATTGTGAAACTGGCGCAGGCGAAAGCTGCGCATATTCAACATATTACAAGCGCCGTGAAAGCAGCCGAGAAGCTGGCGGATGATTTGCTGAGTGAGGACTCCGAGAAGGGTTTTAAGCAGGGTTACCAGCAGAAGATCACAGAGCTTTTTACACAAATAAATGGTCAACTTGACAGATTCACAAATGAGAGTACCACCGACGGTCAAAAGTCGGCGCTGTTGAAGGAGTTTGAGACTGTTCAGAGTAAAGTGAGAGGCCTGGAAGCCGATGTGCTGGCGGATTTGGATAGGTTGAGAGATGAAGTTGAGCGCCTTGACGATGATGTGCACAGCCCTTCTACTGAGAATGTTCTCGTAAAAGGTGCGCTTAATAAGCTCGAGGAGGCGAAAAGAACGTTGGATCAGAATACTATCCAGCCAATCACGGAGGCAGCAACGCAGTTAAAACTTCAGTATGAAAATCTGTTTCGGACGAAATTGGAAGGACTAGCGCAGAAGTTCCAACCTTTCAGAGAAGCCATCTACGGTGAGAATAGAGACTCCACCAATCCAGACGAAAATTCTCTCGCTAAGCTGATCACAAAGTTAACGACTGCCATTGGCAACACAGGCGACACCAATGGTTATGGTCTGGCAGGCGCCGTTAACGATTTCGACGGTGTCGCTAAAGCACAGATCAAGAAAGCGGCCGAGAGAGCAATTAAGGAGGCGCTTGCAAAATTCAAGGTGGATGAGAGCGTTGATGAACCCAAAATAAAAGTAGCAGAATTAATGCAGCTCTTTGAGGCGTCCAGAAAGGAACTTAACGCTGCGGTTGAGAAAATTCAGGTGGAACTTGATGACCTTAAGAAGCTTCCCGAAGCCGTTAAACAACACGGAGAAAACGCCGGTGCGTACATGGCCGAATTGAAAGAGAGGATTACGAAAATAAAGGAGGCAATCAAAGGCATTTCACCAAAGGTGGACGCAGCCGGCACAGCCTTCGACTCTGCCATTCAGACCCTCGAGACATCTTTAGGAGCTGCACGCACTTCCGCAGGCGTGGCTCTCCCCGCTATCCAGACTTACTTGCAGAGGCAGGTGAATAACGCATTCAATGAAATGGAGGATGCCGTTCAAAAAATGTTCGACGCGCAAAAGAAAGCCGAACTAAAAGCCATGCATAGGTCTGTTTCTGACCACATTTCGAGTGTACAGAACGCAATCAACGACAATAGGGATATGGGCCTTAAAGGCCTGATGGCTAAGCTTGAAAATGTTACTCCCCTACTTCACGGTTCCAGCGATCGGCTGCATCTATTCGCCAACGAAGTTAAGGTTTTCTATGAAACATTCTTCGACCAGTTAACTCAGCAAGAAGACCTCATGGACTACTCCACAACCATCCAACCAGTCACCTCCGCCCTCTCCTCCCTGCTCTCCGCAATGCACGAGAAACAACACTTCCACCACTCCGTCTCCGACAAAATCGACGCACTCAAACGCGAACTGCACAACTTCACTCCAACAAAATTCGCCGACGCCTCTCCCCTGCTCAACGTCATAAGGCGCGGCGTCACTCGCCTCCACGAGCAGCTACGCAAGCAGTACGTCAGCAGGTACTCGGGGATGGAGTTTGAAGGGGAGTTGAGGGATCGTAAAGATATCGCAACCTACGGAAAACCCGTCGAGCCGGTATACTCCTTAAGCGAGTATGGTGAGAAGTTATCAAAGGTCTGTTTAACAAGTATTAACATTGTGTACCGCGATTTAAGCAGACTTAACACTATTGGTGAGGGAGAGGCAAAGGACATGATAACCAGTAAGCATGTTAAGAATACGCCACTTAGTGGATTCTTTGAGAAATGCGGTTTCGCCGTTTCCGATTCCAAAACTGAGCAGAATGGCGAGGTGAAGAATGACTGCACCGGCAAAAGGATTAAGGAGCTTCTCCACAAGAATGACAATCTGTTCATAAGACTACCATCAGATGATTGTGATACGTACGGTGATCGGAGTCCACTGTACAAACTTTACAGGTATCTTCATGATTATTGTAAAGTATGTCACTTTCAAATTCATGCTTCACCTAAACAACCTTGTAATGTATATCATATGCTGGCATGGCTTACTGGTCTGCGGTTTAATCCAGTGTATGCTCGCCTTCATGAGTATGTTAAAGAATTGTTCCCTAAACCTAAAGACCGAAAGGAAGAAGCATACTCCAATTTCCGTAACCACGAATTAAGCCTTGACGCCACTACTACATTCTCAGCTCGGGATCTCACCGACGTGCTAAACAGTGTATGTCACTACTCGCACAGTGTTCTTACCACCTTCCTGGGCCACGGCCATGCTGATGGCGTGTATGCTTGTGATCACTTGAAAAACACCCTTAATCTGTTCTATCCCAGTAGCCCCGGTACATGTTTTGACATGTTGGTAGAGCTTTTGCGTAGATTGTTTTACCAACTGTATTATCTATATGTGCAGTGCTGCAATGGTCCTGCGAATGGCGGTTGGGCTAATTGCTGGTACGGCCATGGAGTAGGCGGATCAGCGTGGCTGTGCAATGATAGGCAATGCCCTAACCAAATAGGTGACCAAGCGGGCAACCAAAGTACTAACCAAACACATAGGCAAACGTGCAACCAAAATTGTAACCAAATTGTTAACTGCGGCCTGAAGTCACCGTTGCAGTCATTTTTGGAAGATGGACTGCAAGGGTTTTTGCCACATGCCCTTACCAATGTTGGTTGTGGAGTAAAGTGTTCCCTTGGCAATCATAGAGGCCAACCGTGCAAAACCCCTATGGGATTTACCGATATTGCGCATATAGCTTCCCGATCGCAGAAGGGTGAGGATCTCGAAGGGGTTCTCAAAAAATTTTGCGGCGATAAAAATTCTCCTCTGACCACTCTATGCTCATATATCACATGTCTAGCGCAGCGGCCTCCCCAAACGCTGGGCGATATTTTCGCGTTTTACTATGGGTTCCTGACGGATTGGCGTCGCGGTTTCTATGGATCCGATGCTTTGATCAAACACAAACACAGTGCATTCTACGAGGCGCTAAGCAACGAGTATTTCAAACATCCCTACACAGAGTTGGATCCGATTGCCATATTTAATAACAGCAACCACACTGACCGTAAAAGCTCACATCCTGCTGGTGATCTTTTCAGCATATCAACATGTCATTCCGGCTGCGAGAAAACATGTGGACTCTACGTCCAACCACTGACATGTAACACATACAGCATTTACTCATCCACATATAAGCGCAACTACTTATCGTGGTTTGTCTACTTGACAGAAACGTTTTATGATTTACTCAAAAAGTTATATGACGAATGTAACAATAGATGCGGGCAGAAAGGTTCAAAATGCCATGGCAACAATTGTGTAAAAAGTTGTCCGACAGCCATCCCATCTGACAAATCCAGCAGCCACCAACCAGGATGTGGTTCCGTTGTCAAGTGCCCGGATACACTTCCGACGCTGTATAAATATGGCTTCACATTCACAGACCCGTCCAGCCTAAATGGCAGGAGCAAGGATAAAAATCTGAAACGCACATGCAAAGATTTCTGCAAAGCGTTAGAGAAAGTTGTAGGTGAAAAATGTCCACTTGTAACGCTCATCAAAGAAATTGACATTTACATCTGGGCCATAAGAGAGAATTTCTCTTACACCCTCCTCACCCTCTGGTCGCTGTCGCTCCTGTACCTGCTGCACATCGCCGTCGTCCGCCTCGACGTGCTGAGGATACGCTCCCACCTCCGCTCGCCCTCAAGCCACAGGATCGCCGCGCAGTCCCTACTCGCCGCCGCACGCGTCAGGGCACTCGCCAACGTCAAGTACTTCTCACCATAATCGTGCCTTCACGTGTGATCTGTGTATCACTCACCCACTCACGTAATCACCCACTCACTCACACACTCACATACTCACTCACACACTCACACACTAACTCAACCACTCAACCACCCACTCACTCAACCACTCAACCACCCACTCAGCCATCGGCCATCACCGCCCATCAACCACTCGACTCCTTACCCACTCACCATCCCATCGACCATCCCCCTCTCCCCATCGACCGCTCATCATCGACCGCTCCTTGCCGCTCATCACCCTCCATGCGCATCTCGCCATCCGCTCGACCATCGCCCATTTCACCATGACCGCCCGCCCATCGACCCATTCATCATGCCCATCATCGACCATCGACCATCGATCGCCCATCGGCCATCGATATCATAGCCCATCGATATCGTCCCCATCGACCGCTGACCGCCCATCTGCATCGGCCATCGACCGCCCGCTCATCGATCATCGGCCATCGACGCCCATCGACCATCGACCCATCGCCATCGACCCATCGGCCATCTACCGCTCATATCGACCGCCCATCGCGCTTATCGCTCGATAGCTCATCATCGTGCTCATCGCTCAATCGCCCGCCCGCTCGATGCCCATCATACATCGACCATCGATGATCGCGCCGCTCGCGTACTCATCGCTCATCATCATCATCGACCGCATCGTACGCATCGACCATCATCGCGCTTGCTCATATCATCGGTGCCTGATCTTCCGCTCATCGCCTCGCCCTCACTCGCCGCTCAACGCTTATCGCGCTCATTCACCTCTAATGGTCCGCTCCCTCTCCCTCACCCCTTCCATCACCTCCTCCGTCGGCGTACTTCGCCCAAATCCTCATTTTCCACCTTCCCCCTCCACCTCCGAAATCCCCTTACCTCAACCCATCTTCCTCCCTCATCGCCCTCTTTCGCCCCTTCACTTCCCTCACCCTGTCCACCCACCTCCCTCACTGCCTCCTTGACCTAAAATCGCCTTTCCCCAAATTCCCCCAAATCGCCATAAAAATGCGCCATTTCATCCCACTTTACTCCTTTTAACTCTCCCTTAATCCACCTTCAATCCAACTACAATGACCATTACAATGAAGTACATTACCTGACCCAGGATGCCAGGGGGAAAGCCTTAGGGGACATTGAGTCCCGCCGTATCTCTCTTGGTAAGCTTGCTGGACAGCTTTCGGGTTTTGTCGGCGGTGGAGAGGAAGTTAAAAAGGCTATTAAAAATGGTTTGCAGAGTAATGTAAATCAGCTTGAAAAGCTTTTAAAAACGTCTTGCGGAGATAAGGGGTGTAATTGTGATGTTAAGAATTTCCGTGATAATCATCTTAAAAAACTTCAAAATACATTCAATGACATTGATGAAATTGCAACAAGAATTAATAGCCTTAAAAAAGATGTTGCTGAAAAAAGTGAGGCGTCCTTAAGGACGCCGTCCGTCAGTGATACTGAGATTGAGAAGCTTCAACAGGAAAATGAAGAGCTTAAAACACAAATTTTCTCACAAATTCCTGAGCTTCAAAAGGAAATTACAACTGTAATTGACGCTGTTCAAAGTAAAATTACTGAACTTGACTCTAAGAAAAATTCAGTTGATAGCCTTCAACGTCAAGTGAATGAGCTTAAAAAGAAAATTGAGGAGGGAAAAAAGACTGGTAAAATGCAACAAAATGTCACTGAAAAACAGCTTAAAGAAGCTGAAGAAAGGCTTCAAAAAGCAAAAAATAATTTCCCTGAAAAAGAGTCTAAATCTCTTGAATCTCATCAGAAGTCTATGGAGTCTCTCAAAAGTCTACAAGGGCTTTGTCAACATTGTAATGATATTAATCAACCACAAAATAAAGATGGAAAATGTAAAGATATTTTAGAGAGTCTTTGTGGAGGCCTCGAAAAATTTCTCGGCTACGATAATGGTAATTACACCGGAGAGGGCATCGTGTACTCGGACCTTGACAGGCTCTGCGACGGGGTGATGGCGTTTTTGCATTCCGTGCTTAAGGATGTCCACGATAAACAGCCTTACAAAGTAGGCATGGAGAACCTTAAAAGGCTTGTTGATGAGCAAATTAAGCCTAAATTGTGTCATGGTCATGAGGGTTTTAAGAGTGTCATTGACTTGGTGGCGCAGGGTGTCCGGGGGTATAATGAGGGTGTCAAGGCGTCGAACAAAAAAGCCAAGAGAAGGATTGAAAGATTGTTAGAGAAGGTAGGTGATAGCTTTAAAAAGCAAGTGAGTGCTATACATGACCATTTAGATCCGCGTTTTCCAACAGAAGCTGAAAAGGCCGAGGAGTCGGTTAAGAGTAGGCTGGAAGAGTGTCTTGATTACGCCAAAAGATTCAACGAAGCTTTAGACACTGGAACAGATGAAAAGCAAATAAAAGAAGCAATAGATGACCTGAATCCTAACTTACGTGATAAAGTAAAGAAAGCTATGAGCTTTGTCAAAGATGAAACTGAACGATTTCAGAAGTTGTCGGAGAAGGAAAATAGAGACTTCGAGGCGATGAAAAAAATCATTCAGAGTGTGCTCACTGACCATGGAAAAAAAGTTAATGAGCATGTTTGCAGGGAAGTGACTGCGCTAGTCACGAAGTTGAGGGTATTGGTTCGGAAGATTTTGGATGAGATGAAGAGCGTTGAAAAGAATTTGTTCAACTATCTGCAGAATCTGACTACATGGATTCGGCAGGCAGATACAGCCGTGAATGTGGCGTTAGATAAGATTGAAAAAATTATTAATGAGGTTAGTGAGGACTCTGCATTCAGCAATGTTAAGCCGATTAAGCAGGCAGCCCAGGAACTTCACAACCAGGTGTACGAGCTTTTCAACGCTGGTAACAAAGCGAATGAAGCCGCTGATAAGCAGGTGAAAGCAGCGCTTGACAAGGTTCTTAAGTTGGACAGGGCGGTGAGGACCGGGTTGAAGACTACTAAGGATTTGATTAAGGGGCAGATGAAGAAGTACGTTAAGGATCAGTTGCTAAAAGATGTTAAAGGGAGGGTGGAGAAGATTCTGAACGGTACGCCGCCAAGTGAACAAAAAGGTTTGAAGGGGATTGAGAGTGCGGTGAGGGAGTATGCGGGAAAGTTTTCTACAAAAGAGACCTTTGGAGATAAAGTATTGAAGCTGTGGATTGGGGATATATTGACCACGAATAATACGGTGAAATCTAGACTTGGGTGGTATATTGATGATAACAATGGTACTAGGGGTCTATCGAATCGGAGGAACCTTTTCAAAAATATTGACTGCAAGGCAGATGACTTCCATGAGCCGATTAAGGAGCAGATTAAGTTAAAACTTATTGAAGCTAACGTATATGCTACAGGTGGGCTGATATTTGTTGACAGCAGTACGGGACAACCCGCTGAGCATTTGAAAAATGTTCAAAGCTTTTGCAACGCATTTGCCAAGCAGCTTGATACGCAACTTCCTAGCATTAATGTTGCGAGCATATACACGAATATTGGAAATAATGCGGAATTGTTTGGTGACAACACTAATCAGCACGATAAAAGCAACTTGGAATCCGCCATCAATCTCATCCTCAACCAACTCCCCGACAGGGCCAGAAAGGCCGCCACAGAGCTCGAATGGCTCGCCGACAAAACAAAGGTCGGCACCTCCAAGGACTCCACCATCGCGGCGGAGATCGACGCGGCCAAGGGGGTGGCTGAGGGGCTGGCTGGTGAGCTTGGAAAGGCGACTGGAGACAAAACCTCCGGAGGAGGCATATACGATGTTGATCAGCAAATCCTCGGCATACTGGAGGAGCAGATCGGGGAGGATGCAACTGGCGCTGGAGTTAATGGTGCCATGGTAACGAAAGCTAATAAAACTCATTTCGTGGATTACGACGAATTACTTAAGCAAGATAAAGTACCCACCCTTAATAACGGTCAACTAACCGGCAATCCAGACGAAGGCACATTTCCCCAGGCGATCAAGAAAATTGAGACTGAGGTGAACGAGGCTTTGTCTGAAATTGGCAAATTCAACGGCGTAGCTCAGACGCAGTTTAACCTGGTTACCTCCAATTTTCAACGACTCTGTGACGCTATCATGGGAGCGGCGAGAGAAGGTAAGGATAGCGCTAAAAATCAATTGGAAGAGTTGAAAACTAAGTACTTTAAGCGTTATGACGATAAGAAAAAAGATGCTCAAGAGAGCATTAAGAAGATTAAACATGAACTTGACGCTTTGCTAGCGGGACCAGTAAAAAGGGCTGTCGATTTGGGTGAGAAATTCCTCAAACCAGAAGCTGACGATTTACGTGACGAAACGACCGAAAAGCTCAAACAGCAAGTAGTCGAGGAAGTTGAAAACGCGAAAAAGCAACTCACCCACCACGCCCGCAAGAATTACATTTCCACCACTAAGTTGCAACTGGATCAATTCGCGGACAGGGTCACCAAGGAACTTGATGGGCTTCCCGAGGCCATTGACGACGACCTGATTACGGGCTTCAAGGGATTCATGGGAAAGCTTGCCGGTGAGAATACGAGCAAAAAAACGTCCACTGTAAACATTGAGAGACTTAGCAGTCTTGTAACTGAACTATCAGGACCAGATAAAAATAAGAAAGCAAAACTCTTCAAAAAGTTGTCCGAGAAATTCAAGGAATTCTACAATCACACAAACGAATACATCCTCGGTGAAACCAAAAGGGAACACAAAGAAAACATGAAGAACAGAAATCCCCCAGTGGACGTCGGCGATAAAGATCCGAAGCCTTTCGTCGACATGCTTACCAACGTTAAAGACAAATTAGACACTTTACTTAATCATCTTAGTGCGCTTGACAATGCGAGTAGAAAATACATTTTTGACACCACCTTCCAAGAACATCTCTCCGCCCTCCACGCCCTGCTCACAACAGTCCGCCCAGATTCGTACGCCACCGAAAGCAATCCCCTGCTCGATGTTCTTACAAAAGGCCTGACAGGGATGCACGGGGAACTCAAAAAGGCGTACGTGTCGACGTATGACAGTCAGCCGTGGCAGGCGTCACATTCCGAAAAATACGCGAAAATATGTTTTACACTTTTATCACCCTTGTACAGTGATTTACGTAAACTAAAATCGTATTGCAAATCAGACGGGCAATTTAAGAAAATCAATTCACATCATAATAATGTGTTCGGTGCATTTTTCACGCGCTGTGGTTACGATGTTTCCAACCACCAAAACGAGCAGAATGGTGAACTGCGCAACACAATTGAGTGCAATGGTAAATATATTGGTGAGGAGCTTCTCGTTAAGGAGCACAATTCTTCTCCACCCACGGCATCATATTACCTCATTAGAGACACTGACGATAAAACCAACGAAAAGGAGTACAGCGTCCTCAAACAGCTCTTTGACTGTCTCCACCGTTACCACCGTGTTTCCCATCTCACACTTCCACAGTCACCAAAAACTCCGTCCAGCATCTATGACATCCTGCGTTGGCTTTCAGGGCTCCCGCACAACGCTGTCTATTCTAAGCTCAAAGACTACATGAAGACACTGTTTCCTAAAACAGAGTCACAGAAAACTATGCTCGATTCTAATATTAATCCCAGACATCTAACACTCCCCTCCTATCCAGAGGTAACGGCTGAAAAGCTGCACACTGAGTTAGATAGAGTCTGCCGCCACGCAGAGAGAACACTTATCACCATACTCGGCACTGGGTACTCTAATGGCATCTACGCCTCAGACTTCTCGAACAACTCACACGGTTTCCTGTACTCCTCCAACACAATAAGCTTGATATGCACCCTCTTCGATTTCCTGAAACATCTCTACCAGCAACTTCATTTCTTGCTCGAACAGTGTAGACATACAACTGCGTTGAGTGGTTGGTCCGACTGCCATTACGGGAAAGGAGTTGCTGGCTACGGTTGGCAGTGCAACAGAATGCGGTGCCCAAACCAACGGTGCGACCAAGCATTTAACCAAGGAGCCAAGCAAAGTACTAACCAAAGTGGTGACCAAAGCACTAACCTAAGTGCTAACCAAACGTGTGACCAACACCCTACTTGTGGCCTCAAGTCACCACTCCAATCTTTCCTTGAGGATGGTCTTCAGGGCTTTTTGCCTCATAGTGTATCAGTTAAAGGCACCGGCCTCACGTGTTCCACATGTTCTATGTCACGTGGAATACCATGTAAGATGCCAATGGGTCTTCCCGAAATAGCTGTTACCGCGTCTCACATCAAGATAGGCAATGATATTGTTAGCGTGCTTGACAGGTTTTGTGGCAGAGAGACTTCTTGCCTCAGTGCACTCTGCAGTATGCTGAACTGCCTCCTTCCCAGTGCACCTAAGACACTAGATCAGATGTTTGCGTTTTATTATCATCTGCTCAGTGACCCGGCTAGGGACAGAGAACATAGGACAGATGCCTTTAACAAGGCCGTCATCGCAGCCAATTTCGACAATTCGAGTACAACACTGGACGTTAGCAAAATGTTCGGCAGCAGTAATCACTCTGAGAATCATCTTAGAGGTGGCCTCAATACCCTTGTTAAATGTATAGATAACGGCGGTGGCCCAGTCCATCCATGCGGTTCATACTTGAAGCCGCTTTGCGATGGCATATACGGTGCGGTTTCTAAAGACCACGCTGCCAAATATCTCTCTTGGGTGCTATATATAACAGGAACGTTTTATGATTTGCTTAAGTCGCTGTATGAGGAGTGCTGCAGTAATTGCACTAAGCCGGGAACCAAGTGCAATGGTCGAGGATGTCACAAGGAGTGCATGGTTAAAGGAGGCTTCCTATATGCGAACACAACTCCCAGTCATTGGTCAGAGTGCAAATCAATTGTCAATTGCACAAAGACTCTTCCTACCATATGTAAGTATGGAATGTATTTCGCAAGTAAATCTCATCTGAATGGAGAGAGAGATGGAGCTGGAAAACGTACATGTGAAGACTTCTGCAGTACATTAGGAAAAGCTGTAAAGGAAGGAAACGCATTGCATATGTTGGTACATAAATTAATACCAGAATTCTTATTCAAGATCCGCGAACCCTTCATATGGACACTGTTAGCCCTCTGGTCGCTGTCGCTCCTGTACCTGCTGCACATCGCCGTCGTCCGCCTCGACGTGCTGCGCATACGCTCCCACCTGAGATCGCCCTCAAGCCACCGCATCGCCGCGCAGTCCCTCCTCGCCGTTGCAAAGGTTGGGAAAATTGCCAACGTCAAGTACTTCTCACCATAATCGTGCCTTCACCCACCCACTCACCCACCCACTCAACCACTCAACCACTCAACCACTCAACCACTCAACCACTCAACCACCCACTCACCCACCCACTCACTCAACCACCCACCCACTCAACCACCCACTCACTCACCCAACCACTCACTCACCCACTCACCCACTCACTCACATACTCACCCACTCACCCACTTACTCAACCACCCACTCAACCACCCACTCAACCACCCACTCAACCACCCACCACCCACCTCCCCTTTCACTGGTCGCTTCGCTCCCTCCTCCATCACCCCCTCCCTCACTTCCTCCGTCGGCGTCCTTCGCCCAAATCCTCATTTTCCACCTTCCCCCGCCACCTCCTAAATCGCCTTACCTCAACCCATCTTCCTCCTTCATCGCCCTCATTCGCCCCTTCACCTCCCTCACCCTGTCCACCCACCTCCCTCCCTCCCTCGCTGCCTCCTTGAACTAAAATCGCCTTTCCCCAAATTCCCCCAAATCGCCCTGAAAACGTGCCATTTCATCCCCCTTTACTCCTTTAACTCTCCCTTAATCCACCTTCAATCCCACTACAATGACCATTATAATGAAGTTCATTACCTCACTCAGGATGCCAGGGGGAAAGCCTTGGATGATATTGATGCCCGTCGTATTTCCCTTGGTCAGCTTGCTGGACAGCTTTCGGGGTTTATTGGCAAAAGTGACGAAGTTGAAAAAGCAATTTTATATGGTTTGCACAGCAATGTAACTCAGCTTGAAAAGCTTTTAAAAACATCTTGCGGAGGTGAGGGGTGTAATTGTAATATTATGAATTTCCGTGATGGAGATCTTAAAACTCTTCAAGAGCAGTTTAATGAAGTTGATAAAATTGCAACAGAAATTAATAGCCTTAATAAGCAAAAAGATGAAAAAAGTGAGGCGTCCGGAAGGACGCCGTCCGTCCGTGATCCTGAGATTGCTGAGCTTGAAAGGCTAATTGAGCAAATTGAAGAGAAGCTTAATGCAAAAAAAGAGGAGCTTAAAAAGCAAATTACACAGCTTCAAACTCAATTAAATGATCCTAAAAAGCAAATTGAGTCTACGATTAACAGCCTTAATGAGAAAATTGCTGACATCAAAAGGCAAATTGATGACATTAAACAAGCGGAAAGGAAGAAAAATAATCATGTTAAAGATGCAGATATCTCAATTCCCTACAGTCTTTCCAATTCTCTTGAAACTGAGCAGGCTAAAGTGCAGTCTCATAAGGCTTCGTTGGAGTCTCTTCAGACTCTACAAAGGCTTTGTGGATATTATGACAAACTTGAAAACAATAGAGGCAGTAAAGAAAATCCTGCGAAAGATATTTTAGATAAACTTACTGACGGTTTAGAAAAGTTCCTTGGTTACCAAGAAACTTCCAAAGGCTACGATGGCTCCGGCATCGTTTACTCCGACCTTGACAGGCTGTGCGACGGGGTGATGGCGTTCTTGCACGGGGTGCTTAGCGGAGTGAAACATGACGAGAGTGTGACAAAATATGATAGATTGCTTGGTAGTGAGAATTTAGATAAACTTCTTAAGGAATTTGAAGCTTCCATAGGTGAGGGGTCTGGCGCATTGGGTCCGCAGGTTACTGCGGTGAGTGGGTGGTTGGAGAGGTATGAAGGGGAGGTGAAAAAGAAATGTGAAGCAGTGAGTAATGCATTAACTGCTATACAAGAAAATATTACTCACAAGCATATCCCAGAATTTAATAATTCTGAAGGTAAAAGTCTAAAGGATCTCCACGAGAAATTTGTCTTCTCCGTTGCTGATGTGTTTGAGGGTTTGACTGCACTTAAGGCAAATTCACAAGGTTATGAGGCTCTGGATAACGGCTTAAAAGGTAAATTGGATGTGCCATTAGGGAAAATTGGGGCGGCGGTGGATGTTATGAAAAATTCGGCAGCGGAAACGGTGTTCGCAGGACAAGTCGAACATATGGATAAGCAGCTGGATAAGCAGAGGAAAAGCGTTGAGGAAGAAATTGAATTGCAGTCCAAGCATCTGCAAAAAGCGTTGGCGGATGAGTTTAATAACATAGTGAGCGGGGTTAATAACCTCGATAGGGAGAAGCGAAAGCACTTTGATCGTATACGATGGACATTGACGGCTACTAGGGACAATCTACACATAATTGATGGAAAATATTCGAGTACGCTGCAAGGCTCTCTGAACGAAATAAGACAAAAATTACTTTATCTTAATAACGATGCGTCCGTTGGCGGCACAGGCACAGACTCCCAGCTTCACAAACTGGCGAACTCAGTCAAAAGCGGCATTCAAGGCCTGAACGGAGATCTGAATAGTACCGCCAATGCAATCGGTGGCGCAATTAGTTCGGCCGTGAGTAATGTTAACAATGCGCTCTTGGCTTTGGATGGGAAAGTGAGGGATGATTTGGATTCGTTGAAGGGGAAGATTAAAAGCGATATTAATTCGTATGTTAGGGAGGGGATGGCCACTTTAATGCAAGGAAAGATGGATGAGCTTAGAAAGACCATTTATGATCAGGAAAAAGAGAAGGGCCATTTGTATGAGATTGAGAAGAAAGTGTCAGACTGGGCGAAGACTTTTGCTGAGGATGATGAGTTGGGGTTCAAAAATACGGTAAGTGGGTGGATTGACGCGATTTTGGAGAAGGATGGAGTGGTCAATCACAGGCTTGAAGAATATGTTAAGGATAACGAGAGACATGGTCACTTTCAAACTGACAAAACGTACACCAGTGGAGAATCATTGCGTGAGCCCATTCGAGAGGAGATCATGGACAAGCTTAGCATAGACATCGAGCTATGCGGCAGTATGTTTGCCAGTGTTATGCAACCCCAAGCAAATATTCAGGAAAATATCGACGCGGTCACCGGTGGTATGGATATATTTGTGCAAGGGCTTCAACGCAAACTGAAGGGGGTGAAGAAAGAGGTTGATCTATTTGTCAAAGGAGTTGTTGAAGGGATTGAGGGTAGGCTAGAGAAGGATCAGTCGAAGAAAAAGCCGGCAGTATATCATGGCCGCTACCTTGAAGCTGCCGTTGAATCTGTGTTAGCGGCTCTCCTGTCCACCGCGAGGCAAGTGGCCGTAGAACTTGGATCGTTCAACGGTGATGAAGATGACGTAGCAAAGCTCGGCGAGAAACTGCAGGAGGCCATAACCGACGTCACAGGACTTGGAAAAAAACTCCATGACGCGCTCAACATTCCTGCCGGGCCAAGTGGGCCCAAGACTCTGGCCGACGATGTTATGCAGGGAGTTACTCAAAAACTAAACGACAGAATTGGGCAAGATCGGAATGCTATAGACCTTAGTAAAAAGGAACTCATGGAAAATTACCACAAGTGGGTAACTAAAACGGAAGACAGCGGTTCCCTCCGTTCAAGGATAGGCGAAATCACAACGAACCTGCAAACGTATTTTAAAGAACCCGAGATCAATGGCAAGTCAACCTTCAGGCTAGAAAATACTGGCCCATTTCAGAAATACGTCGAGAAACGGAATCAAGCCGAACAGGCCATCACCGAAGTGCTGAAGAAAATCAAAGAGCTTGAAGGAGTGCTGCAGCTGGTAGACGATAAAAGAAAAGATGCGTTCAATAAAATGAATGATTTGAAAAAGGAGATCGAAATCCATTTGGAAAACGTGGAAACGAACGTCCGATTAGCTAACGAGGCACTTGACGAGGCCATGAAATCCCTACAGCAAACACTCATCAAAGCCCGTGAAAGCTCCAAAAAAGCAGTCGACTCACTGCAGACCACACTGCTTGAAAAAGTCCAAGCAGCCTTCACCCATGTAACAACAGAGGCCAGGGTATTATTCGCGGACCAAAAAATTGCGCAGTTGGGTGCTCTAGGAAAATTGGCCGATGAGCAGCTGACAGAGGTGAAGTGGATAATTACAGAAGATTCGAAAAGCGGATTGAAAGGCTTACTAAATAAGCTCAAGGAGAGATATGTTGGCAAAATTGAGACAGCTAAATTTGCTCCCAAGTCCAACTTTAAAGATGCTACAGAAAATGTCAATAAAGCTTTCGGATTCTTCTTCTACGGATTGGAACACCAAGAGGATTTTGCTTTCCACTTCGGGAAAGTGAAGCATTCCTATGAACTTTTAACAATATTACTCACTGACCTTCATAATACTCAGCATTTTAGCCATAAATTTACTACTAATCTAGATGCATTAAATAATGAACTTAACGATCTTTCACCTAAGCGATTTAACTACTCCCACAACCCGCTGCTCCTCGACGCCCTCAAGGCCGGCATGTCCGCCTTCACCGAGCAACTCTCCCGCGCGTACGTGAATAAATATTCCGGTCTAAAATTGGGTGAGGTGTTTGAACCTAAGCAACAAGGCTCTGAACCCTATGACAAGTTAACCCCCGAAGGCCGGAACTGCGCCAAGGTCTGCCTGACGATAATGGAGACGTTTAAGGGTCATCTTGATGGTTTGAAAGATAAGTGTAACAATAAAGGTTGGCAAATGAATTTATCGAACGACCTGGGAAAAGTGCTTAAATCGTTCGGCTTCGGGGTATCCGAACAAGGAAAGCAGAACGGTGAGCTGCGGGACACAAGTGAAATGGACGGAACGAAAATTAAATCCACACTGCTTGACAAAAAAATTGAAGATGCTTTTAAAAATCCAATTCTGACTACGTGGAAAAAGGAGAGCATTGCAAAGAGCATCAAATTAAGTAACACGCAAGCTGAAGAAATCCCTCTCATCGACCTTGTTTACTGCATCCGCGAACTTTTCCGAATGTATTATGAAGTGTGTCACTTAGAACACATTCCATCAGCTAAAGCACCTGTAAACATCTACCAGATGATGCAATGGCTCTCTGGTCTGCGGTTTAATCCGATGTTCGGTCAAGTCAATGGCCAGTTTAATAAACTGCTTGAGGGCTTGAAGAATGAGTATAAACTGGAAAAGGCAGAATTCCCTGTTGCCGTGCCAGACAAAAAGGATGGCGCCAAGAATGCAGCTCTCAAACATGACGACATGTCATTCTCACTTGGACAAGTTTGTTTACGCTCGCAACTTACACTAACCGCCTTACTCGGTCACGGCCATCCTGATGGTCGGTACGCCTGTGAATTCCGCACAAACTCAGATAAATTATCGTATCCATCTGCTCCATCACTGTGTTTCGACATGCTTGTAGATATATTGAATAGAGTGCTTCAACAAACATACTTCCTATATAGCCAGTGTCGCAACGACGCCATTAGCAGCGGTTGGCGTGACTGCTGGTATGGTCGGGGCATCGGTGGGTCGGCTTGGAACTGCAACACAATGCAATGTCCCAACCAGGTCTCTGACCAAAGTGCTACCCAAAATGCCAACCAAACATGTACCCAAAAGTGCAACCAAAGTGTTAACTGCGGCCTGAAGTCACCGTTGCAGTCCTTCCTTGAGGACGGACTTCCAGGGTTCCTTCCTCATTCATTCAAAACACCGGGTTGTAAGCTTACATGTACAGTGTCCAATCATAATGGCATTCCTTGCCTTACTCCAATGGGTTTCACAGACATAAGCACAGCGGCGTCACATACACAGAACGGTGAGTATCTCAGGAAGGTTCTTGTCGATTTTTGCAGTCCAGATTCTCACCTCAATAAGTTATGTAGTTATTTGCAATGTCTACTACGTCGACCGCCTCAGACGCTTGGCGATATGCTAGCGTTCTACTATCAGTTCCTTAAGAACTGGAATAAGGGGGAACATAAAAAGACGGCATTTGACAATGCTGTTATACAGGCGAATTTCTGGAATGAGAATACAACGCTGAACGTTGTATCTATACAAGGCAGTAAGGTGCACTCCGACAAACATTCCAAAGGAGACCTCTTTAGTCTCACAGATTGTTATCATAAGACGCAGTCGGGCCTACCGTGTGGCAAATATCTGCAGCCCCTGTTCCTTGATATATATGATATTTATTCGAAATATAATGCCAGCCGATATCTTTCATGGGTGGTGTACTGTACTGAGACATTCCTTGGGTTGCTCTATGATTTGTATGAATCTTCCAAAAAATGCGAAACGCCAGGCACCAGATGCTGTAATAAAAGCTGTGCTGAAACATGCACGGTAAAATACACTGACGATTCCGGAAAATCTAACATTCCATCACATAATGAGAAGCACAATAGCAACTGCGATTCCATTGTTAAATGTCAGAACATGCATCCAACTCTATACAAATATGGATTCACCTTTGGTAGTCCAAATAAACTAAGCGGAAAAGATACAGAACCGAAGTTGAAAAGAACGTGCAAAGATTTCTGTGAAGCACTGAAAAAAGTTATCGGCACAGAGTGTGTTCTTGTGAAACTCATTGAAGACATCGATGAATTCATCTGGAAGATAAGAGAGAATTTCTCCATCACTCTGTTAGCCCTCTGGTCGCTGTCGCTCCTGTACCTGCTGCACATCGCCGTCGTCCGCCTCGACGTCCTGAGGATACGCTCCCACTTAAAATCACCCGCAAGCCACCGCATCGCCGCGCAGTCCCTCCTCGCCGCCGCACGCGTCAAGGCACTCGCCAACGTCAAGTACTTCTCACCTTAATCGTGCCTTCACGTGTTATCTGTGCATCACTCACTCAACCACTCAACCACTCTCTCACTCACCCACTCACCCACTCAACCACCCACCACCATCACCCATTCTTTCTTTCACTGGTCGCTTCGCTCCCCTCCCTCACCCCTATCCGTCGGGTCTTCGCCGAATCCTCATTTTCCACTTTCTCCTCACCTCCAAACCGCCTTATCAACCGACCTTCCGCCTTTTCGCCCTCTTTCGCCTTTTTCCCTCACCTTGTCCACCCACTCTCACTCCTTCACTGCCTCTTTGACTTAAAATCGCCTTTTCCTAAAATCCCAAATCGCTCTAAAATGTGCCTAAATATTCTTCAACATTGCTCAACATCGTCATTCTTCATCTTCTGTCGCTGTCGCTCCTCTACCTGCTGCACATCACCGTCGTCCGCCTCGACGTCCTGAGGATACGCTCACACCTGAGATCACCCTCAAGCCACCGCATCGCCGCACAGTCCTCTCGCCGCCGCCGCGTTGAAAATAGCCAACGTCAGTAGCTTCTCACCATAATCGTGCCTTCACGTGTGATCTGTGTATCACCCACTCAACCACCCACTCACCCACCCAACCACTCACCCACTCAACCACCCACTCAACCACCCACTCATTCACCCACCACCAACCACTCACCCACTCACTCACTCACTCACTCACCCAATCACCTAATCACCCACCCACTCACCCACTCACCCACTCAACCACCCACTCACTCACCCACTCAACCACTCACCTGTTATTACTGGTCGCTGTCGCTCCCTGCCTCCCTCCTTCCATCACCTCCTCCGTCGGCGTCCCTCACCCAAACTCCTCAATTTCCACCTTCCCCCTCCACCTCCGAAATCGCCTTACCTCAACCCCTCTTCCTCCTCCGTCGCCCTCTTTCGCCCCTTCACCTCCCTCACCCTGTCCACCCACCTCCCTCACCCACTCGCTGCCTCCCTCCACCTAAAATCGCCTTTTTCCAAACTCCCCCAAATCACCCTAAAATTGTGCCTAAAATAATCCTTCAACATTTCTCAACTTCTTCACTTTCCTCTTGCTAGCCCTCTGGTCGCTGTCGCTCCTGTACCTGCTGCACGTCTCAGTCGTCCGCCTCGACGTCCTGAGGATACGCTCCCACCTGAGATCACCCTCAAGCCACCGCATCGCCGCCCAGTCTCTCCTCGCCGTTGCAAAGGTTGGGAAAATTGCCAACGTCAAGTACTTCTCACCATAATCGTGCCTTCACGTGTGATCTGTGTATCACTCACCCACTCACCCACTCACACACCTAATCACTCAACCACTCACTCACCCACCCACTCAACCACTCACCCACTCACCTCCCTCCTTCACTGGTCGCTTCGCTCCCTCTCCATCACCCCTTCCATCACCTCCTCCGTCGGCGTCCTTCACCCAAATCCTCCTTTTCCACTTTCCCCCTCCACCCCTTAAATCGCCTCCTTTCCACCCATCTTCCCCCTTCATCGCCCTCTTTCGCCCCTTCACCTCCCTCACCTTGTCCTCTCACCTCCCTCGCTGCCTCCTTGACCTAAAATCGCCTTTCCCCAAACTCCCCCAAATCGCCCTGAAAATGTGCCTAATAATACCCTCTTTAATTTTTCTTTCCACCTGCCACCCTCCAACATAAATCCCTAAAGCTCTCTTGCTCCCCAAATCCACATGATCCGCAGTCCTACTGTAGTCAGCTTGATAAGGCCATTAAGTCCAAAAATGAAGAACTTCAAAAAGCTAAAAACAATCAAAATAAATCTCTAATATCCTCTTTAGAAGCTGAAATACAGCGCTATAAATCCAACAAAGATGACTGCACTAAGTCCCATTACATGGACCAGCAGCGTCTCTCCTCCCTTGAGGGGGAAGTGCGTGATGGCATCGATGTTATTGTGAAGCTTACACAGTTTAGTGGCTCTGAAAAGAGCATTGTAGAGTTAATTAATACAGAAATAAAGAGGCTTAATAAGCAGCATAAAGACTGTGAAACCTGTCAAAAGTCTCTTCCCTCTTCTGACTGTGGTCAGCATAAAAAGCTTGAGGACCTTCAAGAGAAACTTAAGACATTAACTCAGAATAATAACAATAGTCCACGTGAATTATTAAATAACCTCTGCACAGGCCTCGAAAAATTTCTCGGCTACCAGGATGGTAATTACACCGGGAAAGGAATCGTATACTCGGACCTTGACAGGCTCTGCGACGGGGTGATGTCTTTCCTTCATGGTGTTCTTGAGAGTGTGAAGGATGATGAGAGTGTTACAACTTATGATAAAGATGCTTCAAATAAGATTTCTTCACTTCCCGAAAAATTAGGTAAGTTGATGCATAATGGTTCTCATGATTTTCAGACAGCCATCACACAAGTCTCCGATGCGCTCGGGGCGTGGGATAAGGAACTGAGTTGGAGGACCTGGACACTTAACGACGCACTTAGCACATTACAAAATAATAACGTAGCACACTTTAGTGAATTACTTAGCTTTCTTAATATGTCGCCACCTGATAAGGTTGCCGGCCGGCTGGGCCTGTGTATTCAGGAAGCTGAAAAGCTTCAGCAGGCTTATAAGCAAGCCGACACACACTATAATAATCTAGATCGTCACCTAAAAATTAATTTGAAAGATGCTATGTATCGTGTTCAACTAGAGGTGGACAAGTTCGTTGCAGCTGCTAGTAACAGTGGGCTCAAAGCAGTAGTGGAGAAAGCAGGTGGTGAGCTTAGTGACCTAAAATGGAAAGTTGAACGTAAGGTTCACAGCGCTGTTGGTACCATGGTAGACGATATCGTTGTTAAATTTAACGAACAAATCAAGGCTCCTATAAAGGATATTAGGAGCACGTTGATAGAGGTTGAAAAGGATTTGTTGAAATGGATTGAGGAAGCCGGGAAGATTATAAAAAAGGTCATTGGTAAGTGCGATGCGATTGTTGCGAAGCTGGAAGGTACGACGGTAGATGGCACGGAGAATCCGGAGAGAGAAGCTGTGAAGACAGCAGCTGGTAAGTTGTATTACCATGCGCAGTCGTTATGGACAGCGGCAAACAGTGCCAAAAAACTAGTTGAAAAATTGGCGGCAGACGCTAAGCAGACACTGACAACTCGGGCAACGTATATAGAGGAGCAATTAAAGAATATTAAAGCCAGTGTGGAGTTCAAGGTTTCTGAGGCAGCCAAGGCTGTAGAGCTTTTGGATGATAAGCTAAATGTGGATATGCAGGCATTGAAGGAGAAGATTAGCAAATCGGTGAAGGATTATATTGGCAAGTTGGCGGAGGCTTTGGGAAAAGGAATGGGTAGTGCCACGGGCACTTGGAAAGGCAATGCCAGGCCTGGTGTTAAGGCCTTACAAGATGCTGTGGCCGCTTGGAAAACTACTGATATGGCAAAATTCGGGGAAAGTTTTGGTAAGGTGCTTAGCGAGGCTACGACGGGAGGCATGACAGGTGAACTTGGCCAATATATTGAATGGGTCCTGTACAATCTTATGAAAGTTGGTCAACACATGAAATCCAACAAACCCGATATCGTTCTTAATGAGCTTAAGCAATCGATCGGAGATAAAATTGAAGGGAAGTTTGCTACAAGCTTTGCGAAGATTGGCAACTACTACGCATTTGAGCAATATAATCCGCAAAGGGATACCGCCAGGGGAAAAATCAATGACGTAAAAAATGCTGATAACTTTAATAAGCTTGATAAGTATGATGTGGACGTATGCGGTGCGGATGGGAAGAAACTCGAAACAAAAATAGAAGATATCAAATTGGGAGTACAAGATGCTCTGAATAGTGCCATTGGATCAATCGATAAACCAAAGGTGCTAAGCGACGCGCTCATAGACGTTACATCCGCACTAAATACGTTCACCGATGCAGTCAAGAACTTGGTTAACGGTGGGTCATTCATGGACAATGAAAATAACAAAGGTGCAAAAAAGCTTCTACAAGATGTCCACCAGATGATCAATAATGGAACATGGATCGATGAAAAAGTTAAGGGTCTCACCGAAATCAAAGGCCGTATTCACAACCTTCAAAACGGTGTTTTCGCACAATTGTTCTCGTACGCCGACAACTTTTACGATCACGTCGTCAAAGACCAAGCTAATTTGGCAATTAAACAAATTAATGAATTCATCGAAGAGAATATACATAATGCCACGGAAACTATACAAGATGAAGCCCGTAACACGTACTATTCAAGAATTAGCAAAATGCTCGATGAGATGAAAGAAAGTATTAATTGGGAAATAACTGTAATTGACAAAGCAATAAGGAGTGATTTACATACCGGCGTTAAGGGTTTTTTAAAGCACTTTATGGGTAATATTGAGATATCGGGTATTCCAAGTTCGGAAAAAAAACTGGAAGCTCTAACCAAGCGCGAAAACTCTGACCCTAAAAAAGGATTTATTACATTATCAACAGCCCTCAACGATTATTTGCGTCCAATATTCACATACGTCATTGGCGAAGTTAAATCCGTATTCCCCAATACCCCCGCAGCTGTCGGCGACGCTATGATAACGCATCCGTATCGCGAGGAGATTGAAAGTGTCAAAAACGCATTTGACGCCTTACTTCAGCACCTTGAAGTTGAGGAAAATATTTACCACTTCGACTACGACTTCCAAAACCTCCTCGCTGCCCTAACCGACGCAGTTAACGGCCTATCACCAGACAAATTCGGCGCAACGTCCTGCAACGTTCTCGACGTCCTGAAAAAAGGGATGCTGTCATTTACTGAACAGTTACAAACTGCCTATGTCAACAAGTATTGTGATCAAGAATATGTTAACGCCGACGGGCCTAAATACGCCAAGCTTTTCATGAGCATATTGCGAGGCGTCATCGTCGGCTTGGAGAAAGTGAACGAGAAGTGTAATGGCAGCGGTGAATGGAAAGATTATAAGATATGTGAGAAGGAAGGGAAAGAGAAAAATCCACTCGGCGTATTTTTCGAGAACTCCGGTTTCAAAGTTCCACCGAACGACGGTTCAAAGCAGGGCGGTGAGCTGAAGTGGAAAGTTGACTGGAATGGTAAAAATGTTTTTGATCTTTTCACCGACAGCAAGACAGGGCTGTTTAAAGATGTATCTGGCGCATATGAATCCGACGTCCTTGATAGACTCCATGCTCTCCTCCACAATTACTACAGTGCCTGCCACCTCAACCACATTCCCACCCCGGCAACGCCGACGAGCGTATACAAGATGCTTATTTGGCTCAGTGGTTTCTGGTACAATCCGATGTACGATAAGGTTTGTGTATACGTTAGAGATCTATTCGACAAGCCAAAAGAGGAATCGAAATTGCAAGACCCTTCAAGCTACGCGCTAGACGCCACGACGCTATTCAGTGCCACGACCATTACAGATACACTTAGCGATGTATGTGACCACGCGGAAAAAACGCTGGTTGCTATACTAGGCTTCGGCCACGCGGAAGGTGAATATGCCGTTGAGTTCACCGACAACTCACATAAATTATTGTATCCCAGTAGTCCCTCACAGTGCTTTGACACCCTTTCAGAGATATTGTATAGACTGTATCACCAGCTTAATTTCTTATTTATTCAGTGCTCACGTACGTATGACGCTAACACCTGGCGTGAGTGTTGGTATGGTAGTGGCATTGGTGGCTCGTCATGGGAGTGCAACAAGACGCAATGTGCCAACCAAGAGTGCCCTCAAAAGGCTGACCAAAAGGGCAACCAAAATGGTAACCAAGGTGGTAACCGATTGGTTACTCAAACATGTGACCAGCACCCTATGTGCGGTCTGAAATCGCCTTTGCAGTCTTTCCTTGAAGACGGATTGCCTGGCTTCTTACCACATTCTTTCAAAACTCCCGGTTGCAAGTTAACCTGTACTGTGTCTAATCACAGAGGAATTCCATGCAAAACTCCGATGGGTTTCGGTGACATCGCCACAACATCATCGCATACAAAAACAGGTGCGCATCTCCGAGATGTTCTGAGAGAATTCTGTGGTGATTCAGAGAGTCCTCTGACTAAACTGTGCAGTCTCTTAACATGTCTATCGCAACGCACGCCACAAACGTTAGATGATTTGTTCGCGTTTTATTTCTGTTATTTGTACGGTTGGAATGATAAGGACATGATGCGTAAGAAGCATCAGAAAGGTGCATTCGACGAGTCGGTCAAAAAGGCTTATTTCAATAAGCAGTATGATGATCTCGACGTTACTCCGATGTTCGAGAGCAGTGTTCATGGGTCCGGCGATACGTCTTCCCATCTCAAAGGTGACCTGTATAGTCTCCACCGGTGTGACTATGAAGGAAACTCTGAAATTTCGTGCGGACGATACCTACAGCCTATGGGCATGAATATATGGAATACGTTCTCGAACAAAAATGCCGACAAATACCTTTCATGGGTTGTGTATTTGACAGAAACCTTCTATGATTTGCTTGAGAAGCTCTTGAAAGAATGTTGCGACAATTGCAATAAACCAGGAACGAAATGCTACATAAAAAGTTGTGATGTGACATGTAAGGTAAAGGCCGCTTACGAATCTGATGACACCGCTAAGGATCTGAAAAATAAGCATCACAGTCAAGATTGCAAATCTATTGCTAATTGCCCATTCACTCGGCCGACACTAGCTAAATATGGTTTCGTATTTCAGAGTTCGTACAACCTGAGTGGCATATATGGACCGGAAAAAGTGCGCACATGCAGAGACTTTTGTGCGACGTTGAAAAGAATTCTCAACGACGTAGAAAAAGACGAAGCGCCACTCGCAAAATTAATTTATCGCACAATTCCCAATTTCTTATGGGCCATTCGTACACCCTTCTCCTACCTCTTATTAGCCCTCTGGTCGCTGTCGCTCCTGTACCTGCTGCACATCGCCGTCGTCCGCCTCGACGTGCTGAGGATACGCTCCCACCTGAGATCGCCCTCAAGCCACCGCATCGCCGCCCAGTCGCTCCTCGCCGCCGCACGCGTCAGGGCACTCGCCAACGTCAAGTACTTCTCACCGTAATCGTGCCTTCACGTGTGATCTGTGTATCACCCACCCACTCAACAACCCACTCAACCACTCAACCACTCACTCAACCACTCACTCACTCACATACTCACCCACCTAATCACCCACCCACTCAACCACCCACTCACCCACTCAACCACCCACTCACCCACTCACTCAACCACTCACCCACTCAAGCACCCACTCACCTAATCACTCACCCACCCACTCACTCAACCACCCACCTCCCTCCTTCACTGGTCGCTTCGCTCCCTCTCCATCACCCCCCTCCATCACCTCCTCCGTCGGCGTCCTTCGCCCAAATCCTCATTTTCCACCTTCCCCCTCCACCTCCAAAATCGCCTTACCTCAACCCATCTTCCTCCCTCATCGCCCTCTTTCGCCCCTTCACCTCCCTCGCCTTGTCCACCCACCTCCCTCACTGCCTCCTTGACCTAAAATCGCCTTTCTCAAAAAATTCTATAATTCTCCAAAAGTGTCCCTTTCCACCTCCTCTAATTGTTTTCTAACTTTTTTTTCCACTTTGCTTTTCTCACCTTAATTGGCCTCCTTCGTCGGCCTCCATCGACTGGTTGATCCAGGTTAGGCATGGGAATGGCGGTAATGGTCTTACCAACTTGGCTAGTGCTTTGAAAGAGTTGATTACTGATGCTATTACTAAGGCTACAACTTCCCTCTCTCACAAATCCTCCAAGCTCTCTTGCTCCCCAAATCCACATGATCCGCAGTCCTACTGTAGTACACTTGACAGCCAAATGAAGTCTCTTAATGATGAACTTCAAAACGCTAAAAACTCTAATGATGACTCTGATAAATCTCTAATATCCTCTCTAGAATCACAAATCAATGACTTAAAGTCCAACAAAGATGACTGCACTAAGTCCCATTTCATGGACCAGCAGCGTGCGTCCTCCCTTGAGGGGGAAGTGCATCATGGCATTGATGTTATTGTGAAGCTTACACAGTTTAGTGGCTCTGAAAAGAGCATTGAAACACTAATTAATAAAGAAATTAAGAGGCTTAATAAAACGCTTATTAAGCTTTTCGATAAATATTGTGGCTCTGCTGGTTGCTGTCAGAAGCATCGTGATACAATTGAACAACTTAAGAAACTTCATGATAATGTTAATACGCCTGAAAAGCTTTCTAAAATTAATTTTGATGAGCTAAAAAAGCATCTAAAAGCAATGGAAAATCCTGTAAATGACGATGGAAAAAATCCATGTTATTGGCATCATTCAATTGACTCCAACACGTATGACAATTTGCACAGCATTCATACAAAATTGTTAAAACTTACTGATCATCGAGAAAGTGTTACAAATGCAAATAATGATGCTTGTAAAAAACTTTTAAATAACCTGTGCTCTGGCTTGGAGAAGTTCCTTGGTTACCAAGAAACTTCCAAAGGCTACGATGGCTCCGGCATCGTGTACTCGGACCTCGACAGGCTCTGCGACGGGGTGATGGCGTTCTTGCACGGGGTGCTGGAGACTGTGAAGGATGATGATAACGTTACAAAATATGATAAAGATGATGCTTTGAAGATTACTAAAGTTATTACCACTTTACATGATAATGTAGGTAAAGGCCGTGAGGCCTTCGAGGAGGCCGTGACTCAGGTAAGTGAGTGGTTAAAAAATCATGGTGAGCAGGTGGACACATTGACGAAGAGTGTTACTTCACCGATAAATGACCTTTTAGAAGGCGGCGAGAAAGGAAATTTCAAGAACATTCCGCAGTTGATTAAAGACATTCAAGGGATGCAGAAGAGTAATTATGAAGATGTCTCCGGCCCAGGAGGTAAGTTAACTACTTGGCTTAATAATGTTTCAGGTCTGCCCAAGAAGACTCAAGAGGCACTTAAAGCACTTGATAGCGTAGACAAACAGCTTTCTAATAAGTTGCATCCTCACGTTAATTTGCTGCATAATGCTGTTGACACTTTTCACCTAAATGTTGGTCGTGACCACTTTAGCGTTGTTAAGACGTGTGAGAGGGTGGACGAGCAGACAAAAATCATAACAGATTATGCTGATAAGGTCTACAGAGAGGCAGAGGAGAAAGTGGGAGGCACGCTCTCCGCTTCGGCGGATCTCTTAAACAAAGCAAGGAAAAAATGTAAAGAGCTTGACAGTGACTGTCGTTATGCTAGAAAACAGTTGGCCGAATTGACCTCGGCGGCCGAGGATATTCTGCATAATGTTAAAGGCAACGCTTTAAATGTAACAGAGATCCATAGGCAAATTAAGGAGGTGCTAAGCGACAAGATTAATGATGTGTGGGTCAAGTCTATGGCCGTTGATGTCAACATTATCCAGAGGGGTGTTGAGGATTTACTAACTGGAGTTGGTGAGGCAATGGGGAATCTGTCCGAAGCTGTTGCAGGCAGTAAAGTTGATACTGTGGAAGGTATACTTGCAAAGTTGCACGGTGACGTGCGGGGTCTTCAGAATCTGCTTGACACAACTAGGGAAGATTTGCAGCAGGCACTTCAGAAAGTCCCAGCATTATCCATACAACAGCTTCATCAACCACAAACATCAGCACGGAAATTAGATGCAGAACTACTTGAAGGCAAACTAAAGAATGCCATAACGCCTCCAAAGGCCACCGCTCCATTACCTAAAGGCGGAGCTAAAGAAAAGAGTTTGGCAGGAAAAGTCGACGCTGCTGTTGCAGCAGTGAAGCAAAAAGTCGGAGCGATTGAGAGCGATTTCAAACCATATTATAAATCACTTGAAAAAGCAGTTGAGGAATTGCAGGCCGTTATGAAAACTCTTAAAACATTCTCCCAGCATGTTGCCTCAGATTCAACCGGCGTTCCAAACGATGTCATAAAATTAGAAGATAATGTTACTCAACTTCAACTGCAATTCCAAAGACTTATAAATGCAGTCACACAAGTTGACATAACAAATAAAATTAACGCGTTAGGCACCGCTCTTGCTTCCGCCAAAGAAACTATCATAAAATACATCAAAGATACTGCCAAACAATTTAGAACAAAAGCTCTCACAGCCCAAATCGCCACCAAACGCGAAGCTCTCACGCAATTCGCGCAGGCCAAGGGAGCGGAGCTAAGCGCTTTGCAACAATTGGTTACCGAGAAAAAAGATGAAATCCAAAAAGTAATAGATAACGATAAAGCGACAGGCCTCAAAGGCCTTATGCCGAAAATTTACGGCGGTGACATTCCAATTCCCCCCAGTGTTGCTTCGACTCCAGGTCTAAAGCTTCACGCCCTAATCACTGCTTTAGGTTCACGTGAAAGTGACGGAACCAAATTCAAACAGTTGTCTGAAGCATCTAAAAATTATTTGGATGAGATTTTAAAGTATGTCTCTTCTCAAGTCCACTCCCCTCACTCCTCCCAGTCCCACTCCCCCCAAGTCGACCGCCTCAAACAGCAACTGGACACTCTACTCACTAACCTAAAAAACTCCAGCAAAGATAAATTGTATCACTTCGACCACACGTTCACTTCTGACCTAGCCGCACTTAACGATGCGCTTGCCTTACTAACCCCCAAGCAGTTCCACGGCCACAAACACCCTGAGCTGCTCGACGCGCTGACCGCTGGAGCGAAGCGACTGGCAGGCGAACTGGGCAAACAGTACGTGAACAGGTACAGCGGACATGAAAAAATAGACTTTGGTAAATTGTTGGTAGATAAGATTCCAGAGGACGGCAAACCATCCAACGAAAAAGAGTTAACGCCGGACGGCATTAGGCTGTCCAAGGTGTTGCTCACGTTGCTGTCCACACTAAGCACCTCGTTGAGTACACTGAAACACGATTGTCGCACTCTGAAAGGAGAGCAAATTAACCAGTCTAGTAACGTAGGGAAATTATTAGCCGGTCACGGCTATATTGTATCCGAGTACGGAAAGCAGGACGGACAGCTACGGAATAAGAAAGAGTGCAACGGTCAGCATATTATTGATTTACTCACCAAAAAAGTGGACAACTCCGACAATAATACACATCTTAAGACGTGTACGTTGACAAAAGACAATAAAATTAAGTTCAATGTAATGGGTATCCTTGACTGTATGTTGAGTCACCTTAACGAATACAATGAAGTCTGTCACCTGTCCACTTCATTCTCCAAAAAACATCCATGTTCAGTCAATGAGATGTTGTGTTGGCTCTCGGGCCTTCCTCACAACCATATATATCCAAATCTTAAGAGTCACATTACGTCTTTGTTTGAGGTACCAGATAGGAGTGACCCGAATGTTAAAACGGTGCAGCCCGTGGATGCCCATCCATCCACCTTTTCATATAGACATGTACATGATGCACTTAAGAACATGGCAGCTCAGTCTCAGAATCTGCTCCGCACCATACGCGGTACTGGTAATGCTCTGATCACATATGGTTGTGATTATACCAACAACTCCCTCAGTCTTACGTATCCATCAAATCCTGGCGCTTGCTTTGATACGCTTTATGACATTCTCCGTAGATTGTTCCCAGTATTTAAATTCTTACAGATACAATGTACGTACGCCGGGAAAGATTACGGCTGGCGTGACTGCCTCTACGGCAACGGCGTCGACCCGTCGAGTTGGCAATGTAGGGACCACCCAAACACTAAACCAACTGGTCAAGCAAATTGCCAACCAACAGACCAACCAAATGGTCAACCAACGACTGAACCTAGGTGCCAACCTAAGTCACCACTAATGAGCTACCTTAACGACTGTCTTCCCGGTCATTTACCACACCAACTACAGTCAGTGGGTTGCACTTTCAAGTGTACCACATGTTCTCCCAATGCCAAGGGAATGCCCTGTCTGACGCCTCTCGGCTTCAGATACTTTTCGGGCAGTATGCGTACAGGCAAAGAACTATGCCTGTTGCTTGACGATATATGCGGAAACTATGGCGTTCTCACCGGACTTATATCAATGCTTACGTGCGTTACTGTTCGTCCTCCGCAGTTGTTCCCTGATATATTTGCCTTTTATTCCATGATCTTAAGTAAGTGGGATAATACGCCTAACCCACCGAACAAGGTTGATAACAAAAGTATACGAACTGCCATATCCGACGCTATTGACGGTACCATTGCGTGTAGCACCGATGACGCCAATAAACTACTTGACCCTTGCGGTCTGTTGTATCAATCCAACTCCCATGCCGACCACAATCTCAATAACCCTGATCTGAAATACCTTGTTGGTTGCGGAAAGCAAGATTGTGGTACCTTCATGCAGCCTCTTAGCCATTCTGCGTACTCCATTTTTGCACCGAGACATGCCAACAGATATTTCTCATGCCTGCTATACAGTGGTTGGTCACTTGTAAAATTCCTTGAGCAGTTGAAGGACGCATTCTGCAGCATTTCATGTGCCGATGCTGGTTGCCTACCTTGTGTAGACACTAATCAGTGCCGACAGGGCAAGCATGGTTCCACAGACTGTGGATGTATGTCCATGGTAAACTGCAAAGGAGTCTCGTCGGTGTTTTATAAATACGGTCTCACGTACGCAAATGCCCCCGCCGGCACCAGAAAGAAATGTAAATATTTCTGCGACACAATAGATCGCATATTGAGTTCCAAGCTGCTAGGTAATTTCCTGTCGGCAATCGACGAACTCATCTTCACCGTCAGAGAGAATTTCATATGGACATTACTAGGGCTTTGGGCATTTTCATTGCTCTACCTGCTGCACATCACCGTCGTCCGCCTCGACGTTCTGAGGATACGCTCCCACCTGCGCTCACCCTCAAGCCACCGCATCGCCGCACAGTCCCTCCTCGCCGCCGCACGCGTCAAGGCACTCGCCAACGTCAAGTACTTCTCACCATAATCGTGCCTTCACTCACCCACTCACTCACCCACTCACATACTCACCCACCCACTCACTCACCCACTCACTCAACCACTCAACCACCCACTCACTCACTCACCCACTTACTCACTCACCTACATACTCACTCACTCACCCACCCACCCACCACTCACCCACTCAACCACTCACTCACTCACCCACCCACTCACCCACTCAACCACCCACTCAACCACTCACCCACTCAACCACCTAACCACCCACTCAACCACTCAACCACCCACTCAACCACCCACTCAACCACCCACTCAACCACTCACTCACTCACCCACTCACTCACCCACTCACTCACTCACTCACCCACTCACCCACTCAACCACTCAACCACCCACTCACTCACTCACTCACTCAACCACTCACTCAACTACTCAACCACTCACTCACTCACTCACCCACTCAACCACCTCACTCACTCAACCACCCACTCACACACCCACTCAACCACCCACTCACACACCCACCCACTCACACACCCACCCACTCACTCACTCACCTCCTCCTTCACTGGTCGCTTCGCTCCCTGCCTTCACCGCCTTCATCACCTCCTCCGTCGGCGTCCTTCACCCAAATCCTCATTTTCCACTTCCTCCCTCCACCCCTAAAACCGCCTCTCCTCAACCCATCTCCCTCCTTCATCGCCCTCTTTCGCCCCTTCACCTCCCTCGCCCTGTTCACCCACCTCCCTCACACCCTCGCTGCCTCCTTGACCTAAAATCGCCCTTCCCCAAATTCCCCCAAATCGCCCTGAAAATGTGCCTAAAATAATCCTTCAACATTTCTCAACTTCTTCTCATACCTCTTATTAGCCCTCTGGTCGCTCTCGCTCCTGTACCTGCTGCACATCGCCGTCGTCCGCCTCGACGTCCTGAGGCTACGCTCCCACCTGAGATCACCCGCAAGCCACCGCATCGCCGCCCAGTCCTTCCTCGCCGCCGCACGCGTCAAGGCACTCGCCAACGTCAAGTACTTCTCACCATAATCGTGCCTTCACTCACCCACTCACTCAACCACTCACCCACTCACTCAACCACCCACTCACCCACTCACCCACTCACCCACTCAACCACTCAACCACTCAACCACTCAACCACATACTCACCCACTCACTCAACCACCCACCTACTCACCCACTCACCCATTCACTCACTCACTCAACCACTCACTCACTCAACCACTCAACCACCCACTCAACCACTCACCCACATACTCACCCACTCACTCAACCACCCACCTACTCACCCACTCACCCATTCACTCACTCACTCAACCACTCACTCACCTCCTTCACTGGTCGCTTCGCTCCCTGCCTTCCCTCCTCCCTCACCTCCTCCGTCGGCGTCCTTCACCCAAATCCTCACATTCCGCCTTCCCCCTCCACCTCCGAAACCGCCTTGCCTCAACCCATCTTCCCCCTCCATCGCCCTCTTTCGCCCCTTCACCTCCCTCGCCTTGTCCACCCACCTCCCTCGCTGCCTCGCTGCCTCCTTGACCTAAAATCGCCTTTCTCAAAAAATTCTAAAAGTGTCCAAAAGTGTCCCTTTTCACCTCCTCTAATTCCCCTCTAACCTTTTTTTCACTTTCTTCTCTCACCTCTTTTGCCCTCCCTCCTTGGCCTCATTCGTCGGCCTCCATCGACTGGCTGATCCAGATTAAGCATGGGAATGGTCCGGGTGATCAAGGTCTTGAGCCTTTGGCTGATGCTTTGAAAAAGTTGATTGGTGATGCAATTAAAAATGCTACAACTTCCCTCTCTCACAAATCCTCCAAGCTCTCTTGCTCCCCAAATCCACATGATCCTCTCTCCTACTGTAGTACACTTGATAAGGACATTAAGTCCAACCAACAAAAACTTAATGAAGCTAAAAAAGACTCTGATAAATCACAAATAGATGCTTTAGAAGCTGAAATACAGCGCTATAAATCCAACAAAGATGACTGCACTAAGTCCCATTACATGGACGAGCAGCGTGCGTCCTCCCTTGAGGATGAAGTGCAGCATGGCATTGATGTTATTGTGAAGCTTACACAGTTTAGTGGCAGTGAAAAGAGCATTAATACACTAATTGATAGAGAAATTGAGAGGCTTACAAAGCAGCATAATGGCTGTCAAAAGTCTCCGCAGCCTCATGCCTCTTCTGACTGTCCTCAGCATAAGAAGCTTGAGGAGCTTAGAAAGAAACTTGAGACATTGAAACAGAATAAAGAAAATCATTGTGAAACATTATTAAATAACCTGTGTTCTGGCTTGGAGAAGTTCCTTGGTTACCAAGAAACTTCCAAAGGCTACGATGGCTCTGGCATCGTGTACTCGGACCTGGACAGGCTCTGCGACGGGGTGATGGCGTTTTTGCACGGGGTGCTTGATGGAGTGAAGGATGATGATAACGTTGCAGCATATGATGTTAAAGACACTGAAAACATTAATAAAGTTATTAGTGATTTACATGATAATGTAGGTAAAGGCCGTCAGGCCTTCCCGGAGGCCGTGACTCAGGTAAGTGGGTGGTTGGAAAAACATGGTGCGCAGGTGGAGAAGGCAACGGGAGGAGTGAAGGATAAATTAGGTGAGTTGATTGGTAATTTGTCATCTCCTTCAGGTAAATACTACAATCAAGCCTACGACCAGACCGACTTAAATGGTCAGCTGCACGAGTGGACTAAGACTCTCCAAGGGATTTCTACTGAGCTCACAATAATAGAAACACAACAGATTAATGACTTGGATAAATCACTTAGCACACGTATAATGCACAAAATAGAACCAATTCAGAAATCGGTGGAGGTGCTGCTTGGGGCGGCTAGGGAGGAGGGGCTTAAGAGCAAGGTGAAGGAGGTGGATGATGCGCTCTGGAAACAGGAACAAAAAGTTAGAACATCCGTTGGGAATCTAAGAATTGAGAAAAGGGAGAAGTTTGACATAATTAAAAAAGCGATAAAAGATGCGCAGCATTTTATGGACAATGGTTTTGACTGGGAGTATAGAAGCAAAATATTAGGCTGCTTTACTGCGATCAAGGATGCAATAATAAATGCTTATGATTCGTTGAAACAGAAGAAGAATTACCTGGACGGGCTTGTCATGGACGCTCAGGAGCATGTTTATCAGATAAAAATAGGAATCGGAACTGAAAGCATCTCATTTGGAGATACTGTATACGGTGGTTGGGGTTTGCTTAAGATCGAGATTAAGAAACTTGTTGGACAGATTAAAGGGGAACCAGGTGAAGGTTTAGTTCAAGTTCAAAATAATAGTGGTCTAAAGCAGATTGTTGAGGGAGTTGAGGCATACGCCAATGGCTTTGAGAATGAGGCTTTTAGTAAGGTTTTGCAAAAGTGGATTGATGAGATAGTGAACGATGCAGATGAAGGTATTGTGGGTAGTAAAATTAAGAATTACGTTACATTCAACCAAAACAATGGTAAGCTTAGCGCAGAAGTTGGTTCAGTTAAATCTAAGACTGTGCGACAAGCCATTATAGCAGAACTCCCAGCGTTCATTCACGGAGATGTTAAAACCGCTGCCGTGTCTACGCTGAAAAATACCAAGGTGAATAACATTGATGAGCAATTGAGCGCTTTTGCGGCCAGGATCGAAAGTGAACTTACAAACGATAGGGACTCATCAATTGGATCGGCAGTCCAAGCGATTGAGGAGAAGTTAGGGTTGAAAGGAGTAACGAACAATTACAGGCAATATCTTACAGCCGCCGTTAAGGCCATTGCTAACTCTATCATTAAAAACTTCATGCAAGTCGCCGAGGAGCTTAAGCGGTTCGCAAAGGACTCCCACATCGCCAACTTGACGCAAATAGGCAACAATGTCGACAACATCAAAAAATATTTTGACGGCACAAAAGCTGAAACAATTAACGGAACAACTAATTACGGCAAAAAAATTGATGATGCGCTGGCAAAGGTGAAAGATGAAATTGAAGCGCTTGATGGGTTGTTAGGTGTAAAGGTAGGCCAAGATGGCTCAATTCAGAAGAAGCTAAACGAGATTCAAGAGGAACTTGGTAATCTTCATAACATTAAAAAAGGATGAACAAGACGGCACAATCCATGATAAGACCAAGGAAGCCGACGACAAAATGGATGTGCTAAAAAACAGAAATTAAATACAAACTTCATGTCATCGAATGGAATACGAGAGATGCGGATGAAGCTTTAACACATGCCATTGATGAAATTGATAAAGTTGTTCGGGATGCTTTCTCCACCCTCACCGCCGAGGTCCGCGCTCTCTTCGCCCAGGGCCACAAAGCCGACCTGGCGGCGCTCAAAACGCTGGTAGAGGAGCAGGAAAAAGAGATCGATAAGATCATTAAACATGATAAAAGCAATGGCGTGAAAGGTCTTTTAAAGTGGATGTATGATAAAGCGGGTAGCCGAATTAATGCTCTTGGCAGTGCGTTAACTCCGTCTCCTGCGCCAGCTGTGAAAACTCAAGGAAACACAGAAGATCGGACAAAATTAAAAAACGTATCCGACAAATTCAGAGAATATTCAGACATTATTTTGGATTACATCGGTGGTCAAGCGAGAAATCCAAGTGCCATTGTCAAGCCCACTGAGCAGTCACTTCAGGTCGGAGACATTAAAGATGCGTTCGACCGCTTGATAAAATATGTTGCTCATCATGATGATAATAAATACACTTTCGATCACATCTCTACATCATATTTAGATGCGCTTAATGCGTCTCTCCATAAACTTTCCCCCTCCCACTTCCACGGCTTCCACAACCCGCTGCTCCTCGACGCCCTCAAGTCCGGCATGTCTGCCTTCACCAAGCAACTCGGACACGCGTACGTGAACAGGTACAGCGGTCAAAAAGGTAGCGATGACTGGGTGATTACAAACACTAAAAAAAATAACGATCCTTCTCAACCCGATAAAGTCCTCTCCACCGAGGGCAGAAACTGCGCCAAGGTATGCCTGACCATACTGGAGACGCTATTGAGTGGCTTGGATGGGTTGAAGGATGTATGTAAGAAACGTTTTTCCAAGAGTACAATTAGTCGGTCTTCAGATCTGGGAGAACTATTTAAAAGTTATGGTTACCGTGTTGCCAGCCACTCTAAGTCACAAGATGGCGAGTTGAAGCGTCATGAAGATATGACAGGTGAGAAGGTATTTCAGAAGCTCCACGAGATGAAATTTACGAGCAGCGACAAAATTGAACATCTCAAGGAGTGTGAATCCAATGAAGTGGATGTAAATTCTAAAAAGAAGAAACATGATAACTTCGACATCTTTGACTTACTGAAATGCCTTCACCGTCACCTAGAAGAGTATTACTCCGTCGGTCACATAGCAACTTTCACCTCCATGAAACAACCGTGCAGTGTTAATGAAATGCTTTCTTGGTTCTCAGGTCTGCCGTATAACGCTGCGTATTCCACTCTATTGCGTGACGGTTTCACTAGCCTCCTGCAGAAGCCTAAGCCCAAAACCATACAGGGCGGCGACGAATTTGAAGTAGAATTAGATGATCTGAAGTCCTACTACATAGATGCTTATCCAAACAGAATCACATATGATCACATAAATACTGCACTCGACCATATTTGTTCGATATCCTATGACATCTTGACGTCAATCGCCGGTCACGGCGACGAATACACAACGTACGCCGCTGACTTCTGCACCAACCACCTTAGCCTATCATATCCTTCGATTCCATCTCAATGCCTGGATATGCTTCTTGACATTTTGCGTAGACTATTACCACAGCTTCGATATTTGTTCAACCGATGCAAGCTAAGTACTAAGCATAGCGGTTGGTCGCAATGCCTCTACGGCAGGGATGTCTTCACTACCAAATCACCATGTAATAATCATTCAAATAGCAAACCAAACAGCCGACCAAAGTGCCAACCTACGTGCCAGGCAAACACAAAACCAAATTGCCAACCAACTTCACCTTTAATGAGTTACCTAACGGACTCGTTACCTGGTCACTTACCTCATGACGTTTCTTCTATTGGCTGTCGCTCTGTATGTTCAACATGTCCAAATGGCAAGAAAGGCATGCCATGCTTAACACCTCTAGGCTTCAGAGGTTTCTCTGGGTCTACGCGTAAGGGTGAGGAGATATGTGATATTCTGGACAAATTCTTCTCCAACTTCTATTTGTCATCCCTATTCTGTCTCTCACCAAAGACCCCGGCTTCATTACCTGAGCAGTTCGGGTTTGTTTTATCACTAGTAAGTGGTTGGAATAGTCCCAAGACAGAAGCTACAAGTCGCATTAAGAAGTCCGTTGAATCATCCATTGAGAGTGTGTCCATTAACCTGTATGATCAACCGACGAAACTAACAGCTGCACTTACTAATGCGTACCGTAATACACACAGTAACCATGGAGGGAAGGACCATCTTCCTGCATACTCTGATGTGTATAGTCTGGCGATGACGTCAGCATGTAATGATCGTGTCGGAAAAGCGTTGTGCGCTCCGTATGTTGCATCACTCTGCGGCGATACGTATGCTTACTTTGCTGAGAAGCACTGTAACACATACCTCTCATGGGCCATATACCTCCCATGGACGTTCTGGGACCTACTCAACAATCTTTACAATTCCTTCTGCTCTATCACTTGTGCAGATTGGGGATGCCGTGGATGTCTCAGAGGGGACAAGTGCAAGAGTGGCAAGCATGGTGTCGTCGAGGATGAGAAGAATCAAGATGCCACATGTCAGTGTGATTCTATAGTGAAATGCAGAGGCGTGGCACCGACGCTCTACCAGTATGGATTCACGTTTGGCGAGGCGTCGACGTTAAATAGTGGTAGCACAGTGAAGAAGTGTTCCGATTTCTGTAGTCAATTGAGGAATGTGCTGCACTCGGAATATTTCCAGAAGCTATTCGAGGAATGTGACAATTTCCTGAAAGCAATAAGATGGCCATTTATGCTAACGTTGTTAGCCCTCTGGTCCCTCTCTTTGCTCTACCTGCTGCACATCGCCGTCGTCCGCCTCGACGTCCTGAGGATACGCTCCCACCTGCGCTCGCCCTCAAGCCACCGCATCGCCGCGCAGTCCCTCCTCGCCGCCGCACGCGTCAAGGCACTCGCCAACGTCAAGTACTTCTCACCATAATCGTGCCTTCACCCACTCACTCACCCACCCACTCACTCACTCACCCTCATACTCACTCACTCACCACTCTCTCACTCAACCACTCACCCACCCACTCAACCACCCACTCAACCACCTCCCCTTCCACTGGTCGCTGTCGCTCCCTCCTCCATCACCCCCTCCCTCACTTCCTCCGTCGGCGTCCTTCGCCCAAATCCTCATTTTCCACCTTCCCCTCCACCTCCTAAATCGCCTTACCTCAACCCATCTTCCTCCTTCATCGCCCTCTTTCGCCCCTTCACCTCCCTCACCCTGTCCACCCACCTCCCTCACTCCCTCGCTGCCTCCTTGACCTAAAATCGCCTTTCTCCAAATTCCCCCGAATCGCCCTTAAAATGTGCCATTTCACCCCCTTTACTCCTTTAACTCTCCTTAATCCACCTTCAATCCCACTACAATGACCATTATAATGAAGTTCATTACCTCACTCAGGATGCCAGGGGGAAAGCCTTGGATGATATTGATGCCCGTCGTATTTCCTTGGTCAGCTTGCTGGACAGCTTTCGGGGTTTATTGGCAAAAGTGACGAAGTTGAAAAAGCAATTTTGAATGGCTTGCACAGTAACGTAAGTCAGCTTGAAAAGCTTTTAGAAGCATCTTGCGGAGGTGAGGGGTGTTGTAAGGATGCTGGTGAGGCAATTAATAACCTTAATGAATTCAATGAGAAGCTTAAAAAACACCTTAATGAGGAACCAATAGCCGCTGAAAATCTTGATAACATCCTTTCTGACTGCAAGTTAAATCCGTCTGATGGTCCCTTAGATAAGCTTAATAAGGAAATTACTCAAAAAATTGATGACCTTACTAGGCAAATTGATGAGCTTAAAAATGACAATAATGATGATAATAAAAGTAAAAATGCCTCTGAAATTGACAAGCTATCTAAATCTCTTGAGTCTCATAATGCTTCCTTGAAGTCTCTTGAGACACTGAAAGAGCTTTGTGATTTTGCTGGGAAAGTTAAATCATCACCAAATGGGAACTGTAAAGATATTTTAAACAATCTGTGCACAGGCCTCGAAAAATTTCTCGGCTACGAGAAGGGTAATTACACCGGCTCCGGCATCGTGTACTCCGACCTTGACAGGCTCTGCGACGGGGTGATGGCGTTCTTGCATTCCGTGCTTAAAGATGTCTATGAGAAGCAGCCTTACAAAGTAGGGAAAGAAAGCCATTTGAAGAGTGTTGTTGATGCTTTGAATGAGAAATTATGTTCAGGTCATAAGGGTTTCAAGAGTGCCATTGTCAAGGTGGCAGATGGTGTCCGGGAGTATAATAGGGAAGTGGAGAGGTCTAATGAGAGCGTCAAGGAGCCAATTAATGATCTTCTAAGCAAGGTTGGAAGTACGCTAACAGATAAGTTGAATGAAATTACATCTCATATTGTTTCAGGTCCAACGAAGGATTTGAGTGCGGAGCAAGTTGACAAGGTCAAGACAGCTGAGAAGTTGATGAAGAAAGCGCTCAAACAGTGTCAAGAGGACGTAAAGAAATTCAATGACATTTTCAATCTTAGCAATAACAAAACTATGAAGAACGCAGTTGAATATCTTAATCCTAATTTGTCACATAGAATAAAGTGTGCTACAGGCAGCGTGGAACATGAGACGGAGAGGCTTAGGGCCTTGTCAGATAAAGAAAGTGAGGATTTTAATAGTATGCAGGAGAGCATTCAAGAGGTGCTCAAGGAGCACGGCGAGTGCGTGAAAACGAAAATTACCGAAAAGGTAACAGAGCTTGTTAGGTATCTGAAAGACGCGGTGCAGAAGATAGTGGATCAGCTGAAGAAAATTAGTGGTACATTTAACGTGTATGTGAATCAGCTTGGCAAGTGGATTGATAATGCGGATGCAGCGATTACGGGCGCAGAGACGCAGGTTAAGAAAATATTGGATGAAGTCAGCGAGGGGTATGGAAGCACATACCCTGCGCAGCTTAGAGCGACGGCGGACAACCTTAAAACGCAAGCCGATGAACTCTACACTGCTCAGGAGTATGTTAAAACAAAGGTGCAAGAAGAAGTGCAAAAGGCGATTCAGGCTGTAAAAACTCTGGAAGATGCGGTTCGGTATGATTTGAATGGGTTGAAAGATGACATTAGTTCAGGCATAAGGGAATATTTTGATGATTATGTCAGGACAGTTAGAGGGAAAGTTGGAGAGATTAGGGGAGGGCCACGAAACAACAAAGGTCTTCAGATAACACTCAATAATGTGAGGGATCATGCTAAAGGATTCGACGTCAAATTTAAGGCAGCTATCGCGTACATGATTGACAAAATGTTGAGTGGCGGTGCACTGAAGTTGTATATTAGTTGGTATAAGCCCGCCGAACATAAGGAGAGAATTGCGCAAGAAATTACTAACCTCGCCGCATCGGGGACTATTAATTCCAACAGCAACGAAGTTCATACCGTCTTGCAAAGCATTAAGAGTTATCTTGAAAATTTTGCGTCGGCGATTGAGCCAAGTAAAAACGCCAGTGGCATAAGCAACAAGATTGATTTGGCTATCAAAGACCATATCAGCAATCTTGGTTCGTATAATATATTCACACTTGAAAAGGCGATCAAAACTATCCTCACCGCTGTTCACTCAGCCGTAAATGGTGCAGCAGCGGAAATTAATACGTTCGTTACGGAATCGAAAATCAAGAATATCCACGACGCCTGGACTGCGGCTGAGCATCTCAACAGTAGACTTACAACAGCGCTCGAGAAAGGTTCCGAAGCCACTACCGAGGCCTTCGTCCCCGGCTCCGACGTAGATACTAAACTTGCTTCCAACATTCCAAAGACCATTAATAGAATTCTTGACAACAAAATAGGGCAGACTGGCACACATGGTAAAGATAGTAACAAAATAGTAAATCTTGACAAAATGCCGGCTTCCTTCAAAACGGCAACCAGCGACAGGCCAAGCAAAAAAGTCGCACTTACGGCAGCAATCACCAAAATCCAAACCGACGTAACCGGCGCTTTAGCAGGTGTCGAGAGACTCCAAACAGAGTTCATGCTAAAATCCTCGGAGATCCACAACGGCCTTAGTCGACTATGCGCAGAAATTAAGTACGCCGCTGATATAGACCCGAATAGTGCCAAGAAGAAGTTGGAGTTGTTGAAAAATCTTATTACACAGCCTCAGGTTGATGTTATGGTAAACGGTAAAAATCAAACGCAAAAAGGTCTTAACAAGATTCACACTGAGCTTAGTGAACTGCGAAAAAAACTGGATGATGGTCCCATAAAGGCTGCTACAGACTTCGTCTCCGGAGCCGGACGTTTATGTGAGCAATACCTTAAACCAGTTCATGAACACGTTGGCCAACAGGTCCAAAAGGCTCAAGAGCTTATAACAACCCAGGCGCGCAAGAACCACGTTAACGCCATAAAACGTTTGCTTACATCTTTTGCCGAGAAGGTGGAAAAGGATCTGAAACCTTTGCCACAAGATATTTTACATGACTTAACACTAGGATTCAAGGGCTTCATGGCCAAATTTGAAGAACATTTTATTACGAACTCTAAATCAATCATAGGGATTAAGGACATTGAAAATACGCCGTCACCAGAAAAATCTCCACTCAGCCAGGCGGTGGTAAAATTACATGGAAGTTTTAAAAAGTTCTTTCATGATTACCAAAAGAACACAGACTTCAGTAAAGATTTCAGAAATTTTGAGACGTCAAATGATGCATTGCAGAAAATGCTTGAAGGCCTCATCACTTCGCAGCACTTCAACAACGAATTTAGCAATAACTTACAATCAATTAATAATGAACTTCGTGCCTTGCACCCTTCCGAATTCGGTCCATCTTCGACTTCCATGTTACAATCTCTGAAGGAGGGCCTTGATGCCCTCACCAAAGAGCTGAGCAAGGCGTACCTCAATACCTATGAGGGACTACCGTACGAAGAGGCCGACAAGGACAAATATGCGAAGGCCTTTATTACAAGTTTCTATACCATCCACGACAGCCTCACTGAGGTGAAAGAGAAGTGTAACAGCGAAGATCAATGGAAGGACAAAAAATGCTGTGAGATTCAGGGCCGCATTAAAAATCCACTTGGCAAATTCATGAAACGCTGTGGCTTTAAAATAGGCCACGACGAAAATTCCAAGGACTCCGAGTTGCAATATCCCTCTGATCTCAATGGTCAGCAGATTCTTCAGAAACTTCTTGCCAAATCGTTCGACGACACGGAACAAATTAAGCACATTAAGGAGTGTTTACCAGACAAAACGAAAACGCAAATTGAAAACACATTTAATATCACTCACCTCCTTGAATGCCTTTTACATCACGTTGACACTTTTAATGAAGTCTCTCACTTAGCACTACGCACAAAGCCACGCAGCCCCTGTAATGTTTACGAAATGCTTGCTTGGTGTTCGGGTCTCACGTATAATCGCGTATGGTCACCTATGCGTGACATAACTCTGCTTGAGCAGTTTGACGATCCAGAGAAGGAAAACAAAGCACAGCCCGACGAGGACCTTGGCGTCCCATTGACAGCCGTGGGCACCTTATACTTAGATGCCTACCCGCATGACATATCATATAATGATACACGAGATGCTCTTACAAACCTATGTTCCCTTTCATATGACCTGTTGACAGCAATCGTCGGCACCGGTGACGCCGCAACGTATTACGCCTGCGACTACTGCACTAACACAATGAATCTATACTACCCGTCCAATCCTGGCGAGTGTCTTGATATGTTGCTAGACATCCTTCGTAGAGTGTATCCAGTGCTCGTATATCTCTGTCAGATGTGTAGCCTGGACGCCAAACACAACGGCTGGCGCCAGTGCCAATACGGTAAAGATGTCTCATCCGGTAATCGGGATTGTAATCAGCATTCCGATCAGCCTTCAGATTGCCGCCCCGGTTCACCGCTGATGTTGTACCTTACTGACGGCCTGCCCGGCCACTTGCCTCATCAGCTTGGTTCAGTGGGCTGCAAAGCCAAATGTTCAACGTGCTCCACCGGTTCAAGTAAGATGCCATGTTTAACGCCACTCGGCTTTAGAGCTTTCTCTGTAACCAAACGCACAGGCAAGGAGCTATGTAACGTGCTGACCAAACTGTGCGGTAACCAAGGCATTTTAACGACTCTCTACTCAGCGCTTAATTGTCTGCTTGGCCGTCCACCCGCGACATTCCCGGACGTATTCTCATTCTATTACAAGCTTGTACGCAGATGGAACGGAATGCAGGAAGGTGGGAAAGAGCACTCCATCCAACAGGCCATCACCGACAAAATAACAGCTACCGTAGGCTGCAATTCTAGTGATGCTGTGTCGTTACTCGATTCATGCCGCAGAATGTATGACTCTCCATCGCACTTTATGCATAATATTAACGATGTCTGCGATATTGGCTACCTCGTTGGCTGTGGACAGTCAGATTGCGGTTATATCATGCGACCGCTCAACGCCTCGGCCTACAGTGTATTTGTTCCTAAGTTTGCCGGTAGTTATCTGTCGTATCTGATTTACGCTTGTTCAAGTATTTACAACTTCCTCGAGCAGCTGAAAAATTCTTTCTGCGACATTTCGTGCTACGACCACCAGTGTGGTCCGTGCCTTAACAGTGCCGGTTGTGCAACGGGCAAGCACGGCACCAGCCAGTGTGGATGCAGATCCATTGTCCAGTGCCGCGGAGTGTCATCGGTGTTTTACAGGTATGGCTTAGCATATGCAGACGCCGCCGGCAGAAGCCAAATTAGATGTCAGCAATTCTGCACAGCACTAGACAAAATATTGCAATCGCAGACGTTGAAGAATTTCCTGAGTGCCATCGACGAATTCATGTTCACCGTCAGAAAGAATTTCATCTGGACTCTTGTGGCCCTCTGGTCGCTCTCTTTGCTCTACCTGCTGCACATCGCCGTCGTCCGCCTCGACGTCCTCCGCATCCGCTCCCACCTGCGCTCGCCCTCAAGCCACCGCATCGCCGCGCAGTCCCTCCTCGCCGCCGCACGCGTCAAGGCACTCGCCAACGTCAAGTACTTCTCACCATAATCGTGCCTTCACGTGTGATCTGTGTATCACCCACTCACCCACTCAACCACTCAACCACCCACCCACTCACCCACTCACATACTCACTCACTCAACCACTCAACCACTCACCCACTCAACCACTCACCCACTCACTCAACCACCCACTCAACTACTCACTCACCCACTCACTCACCCACCCACTCAACCACCCACTCAACCACTCACCCACTCACCCACTCACTCACCCACTCACCTAATCACCACCCACTCACCCACTCACCCACCCACTCAACCACCCACTCACCACCCACCCACCTACCCACTCACCACCCACCCAACCACTCAACCACTCACTCACTCACCCACTCAACTACTCACTCACTCACCCACTCACTCACCCACCCACCCAACCACTCACCCACCCACTCACCCACCCACTCACTCAACCACCCACTCACCCACTCACCTAATCACTCAACCACCACCCACTCAACCACCCACTCAACCACCCACTCACCCACTCACATACTCACCCACCCACTCAACCACTCACTCACCTAATCACTCAACCACTCAACCACTCAACCACCCTCCTTCACTGGTCGCTTCGCTCCCTCCTCCATCACCCCTTCCCTCACCTCCTCCGTCGGAGTCCTTCGCCCAAATCCTCATTTTACACTTTCTCCCTCCACCTCCTGAATCGCCTTACCTCCACCCATCTTCCTCCTTCATCGCCCTCTTTCGCCCCTTCACCTCCCTCACCCTGTCCCTCCACCTCCCTCTCTGCCTCCTTGACCTAAAATCGACTTTCCCCAAATTCTCCCAAATCGCCCTGAATATGTGCCTAAAATAATCCTGCAACATTTCTCAACTTCTTCACTTTCCTCTTATTAGCCCTCTGGTCGCTGTCGCTCCTGTACCTGCTGCACATCGCCGTCGTCCGCCTCGACTTACTACGCATCCGCTCCCACCTGAGATCACCAGCATCGCACCGCATCGCCGCGCAGTCCCTCCTCGCCGCCGCACGCGTCAAGGCACTCGCCAACGTCAAGTACTTCTCACCGTAATCGTGCCTTCACGTGTGATCTGTGTATCACCCACATACTCACCCACTCAACCACCCACTCACTCACCCACATACTCACCCACTCACATACTCACCCACTCACTCAACCACCCACTCAACCACTCACTCACTCACTCACCCACATACTCACTCACTCAACCACCTCCCTCTTTCACTGGTCGCTTCGCTCCCTCTGCTTCACCCCTTCCATCACCTCCTCCGTCGGCGTCCCTCACCCAAATCCTCATTTTCCGCCTTCCCCCTCCACCTCCCAAACCGCCTTACCTCAACCCATCTTCTTCCCTCATTGCCCTCTTTCGCCTCTTCACCTCCCTCGCCCTGTCCACCCACCTCCCTCACTCCCTCGCTGCCTCCTTGACCTAAAATCGCCTTTCCCCAAATTCCCCCAAATCACCCTTAAAATGTGCCTAAAATAATCCTTCAACAGCATTATTAAATAACCTCTGCACAGGCCTCGAAAAGTTTCTCGGCTACGATAATGGTAGTTACACCGGTGAAGGCATCGTGTACTCCGACCTCGACAGGCTGTGTGACGGGGTGATGTCTTTCCTTCATGGTGTTCTCAGTGGAGTGAAAGATGATGAGAGCGTTACAACTTATGATAAAAATAATACACTTAATAATGTTCTTCGTGATTTACATAATAATGTAGGTAAAGGCCGTGAGGCCTTCGGACAAGCCGTGTCTCAGGTAAGTGAGTGGTTGAAAAATCATGGTGCGCAGGTGGAGGAGAAAATCAAGAATGTAATCACTCCAATTGAAGGCATCAAGACGTCGATAAGGCAGCATAAAGAAGATCCTTCAACTCCAGAAAAGTCTATTGACAATCAAATAGCCGACTGGGCCCGGCGTGCCCGTGGATACATTGCTAAGGTACAAGACGCAGAAGGCGCCTTGAAAAATATTGATTCGGCATTATTAGGTAAGTTGACTCCTCCAATTAAAATGCTGTTGCAGGCAACCAAGACGTTTGAAGCAAATGCGTTGGACACGGATTTGGCGGCGGTCCATGCGGAGGCGCAGGCGAAGATGATGAAGGTTATCGACTCCGTTGGTAAGAAATTTGATGGGAGAATTAAGGGACTGCAGTGGTATTTGAAACGAGAAATTGGAAGTTTGAGAACTATGATCGACGACTTGCGTAATAAGCAATTGGAGGCTTTGAAGAATTCTTTAAAAATTGGAATGCAAGATGCTTTCCAGACGGTGGTTAAGACAATCGATAAGCTTGAAGGTAGCTACAATACGAAAATTGTTGATCCACTTGAAAGGCTGAGAAAAACGTCGGATAGTTTTAATACAAAACTGTTGGACTATAAATATGCACTCAGCACGGCAATCTATCAGGTTGATCAGGACATGAAGAAGTTTAAGGATATTAGGAATTTAGATACGTTTGGAGAGCGTTTTGAAGAGACTGTTCCATTATTAAATGCGCTAAAACGTAAAAATGCATTTACAAAACTGACAACGTATTTTGAGAAGCTCGACCAAGAAGTTGTGAAACCTCTGAAGGAGGTGATGCACAGGATAGGTGAAGGAATTGGGAGGGGTGGTCAAAAGGTAAACACCGATGTGTTGCAGAGTGCAGTAAACACATCAAAAACGCAACTTGAAGAACTTCTAAAGGTCGTTGGTGGTACTTTCCCATCTGCCAATCTCGATGAGCTGAAGAGTCTTTTTGGAGGTACGTTCAGTGCACCTAAACTTGATCTTAAAGCACATTCAGCTTCCATACAACCTATCGTCACAAAACTGCAACGTCATGTGTCTTCTTCGCAAAACATCTCCAAAGATGAGATAAAACCTTTTTTTGAGGCCCTCGGCAACGTCTCTCAAGATATCTCGAAACACTGTGAGCAGCTTGTCACGGCAGTGATGGAGAAGATAAGAGAGAAGGTGAAAGAGGAAGTTCAGAAAGTGGCTAGCATTATTATAAACAAGATCACTGAGTGTTGTCAGCTTGTTAATGATTCTGCTGAGGTCAGCCTTAAGGCCGTCAAAGGTTTTACCAACTCCGTTTCGAGCCTCCAAATTTTGGTGAGTGACTTCGCAAAGGATATCGATAAAAAGCTTGAAGAGTTGAAACAGCATGTTGGAACAAATGGAAACAAATCCGAAAATAGTGTCTACAAGGATCTTGTTGGGATGCGGTCAAGCATCGGAGAGCTTAGTGGTAAGGTTGATAACGTTAAGGTGAATGTAAGGTTGGTTGGCAAACAGTTGGATCTTTGCATGACCAGGGCTCAAAACATGCTGAATGAAGTCCCCAAAGGAACCGAAAATCTCATTAATGAGCTACGTGACGACGTAAACAAAACCATTACTGAAGGCTTCGGAGCCATTCAAAATGAATCTAAGGACCTCTACAAAAAGCGGAAGTCTGAAGAAGTACAGGCCCTCGAAACCATCGTCACCGCTCAGCTCGATGAAATCCAAAACATCATAACCCTAGACAGCATGTCCGGCCTAAAGGGATTAATGAATCTCATGGAGACGCAGCATCAGAAGATTTATCAGATTCCTGTTATACGTGAATTTAAAGACGTAACAGAAAATGTAAGAGATTACTTGAATAAAATCCTTCTCTACACCTCCTCCCAATCTCAGTCCCACTCCCCCCAAGTCGGCCACCTCAAACAGCAACTGGACAACTTACTCAGCCACCTAAAAAACTCCAGCAAAGATAAACAATATCACTTCGACCACACGTTCACTGCTGACCTAGCCGCACTTAACGATGCGCTTTCACTGCTAACCCCCAAGCAGTTCAACGGCCACCAGCACCCTGAGCTGCTCGACGCGCTGGCCGCTGGAGCGAAGCGACTGGCGGACGAGCTGGGCAAACAGTACGTGAACAGGTACAGCGGACATAAGACTATAGACTTTACTAAATTATTGGTAGATAAAAAAGACGATGCCCCTTCGAAAATATCCGCTGTAAAAGCTCCAGTTGCAAAGGCCAAAGAAAAGGTGTTGACCGCCGAAGGGAGACAGTTGTCCCAGGTATGCCTTACGATATTGACAACATTACATAACGATTTGAATGTGCTGTATGACAAGTGTAGCCAGTCTGGTAAGTGGATAGACGAAAAATTATGTGAAATGAATGGCGAAGAGAAGAATCCTCTTGGCGTATTCTTACAGCGCTGTGGATTCCAAGTATCCAAAAATCTACTCTCCAAGGAGGGCGAATTGAAATTACCTTTGAATAATTTTGCAGGTGAGCACATTCACAAGAAGCTGAAGGAGGAGGTCTATGACGCAAAGCGAAATTCACACCTCCAAGTCTGTCCACAGAAAAATGCAAAAACAAACTTTAATGTCATGCATATTGTTAGATGTATTGTTACTCATTTTGACGAATATAACCGTGTTAGTCATTATGCATATTTATCGTCAACTCGACACCCGTGCAATGTATATGAGATGCTTGGTTGGCTCAGCGGGCTCTGGCATAATGACGTCTATGCCAAACTTAAAAAGCACTGTGAATCGTTGATCGACAATGAAGACGACACACGTTCTGTATTAAAGCTGGCCGGCGCTGTGACGTATGGTTTGCCCAAATTGTCCACGTATTCACACAATCTTCTCACAACTATCCTCGGAACTGGTGATGAACGCACGACATATGCGTGCCAATTCTTCGACAACTCCCTTAATCTATACTATCCGACTAACGGTGCACAGTGCGTAGATATGCTATTTGATATATTCCGTAAATTGTTCCCTGTCCTTAGGTTCATGTATAAGCAGTGTGGTAATACGGCATCTAATCACGGATGGGCCTACTGCCGTTACGGCAAAGTTGTCCCGCCATCAAATTGGCAGTGTAACGACCATCCTAGTAATGAATCAAATTGCCGACCAACGTCTCCACTAATGAGCTACCTAAACGACTGCCTGCCGGGCCACTTGCCACACCAGTTAAGCAGTGTTGGATGCACGGCCAAATGCTCCACTTGCTCTTTGAAATCTAGGGGCCTTCCTTGCCTACCTCCCTTAGGGTTCAGAGGTTTCTCCAGTTCAACGCGCACGGGTGTGGAAATAGGCTATGCACTGCATGATATATGCGGTGAGAATGGCGTCTTTAGTACATTCTACGCATCACTAGCATGCCTCCTTGGCCGTCCACCGTCTAGGTTCTGCGACGTTTTTTCGTTCTTTTGCCAACTCACTCATTCGTGGAAGTTGACGAACAACTCCAAGGTATTCCTTGGTCCTATGCAACAGGCCATCTGCGATCAAATCACATCCACTGTTGCTTGTGACCTTGAGCTTGCCAACAACTTCATGGACTCGTGCCGCAATTTATTTGAATCCTCATCGCATGAACATCATGATTTAGAAAAGGATCTTGATTTCAGTTATTTGATTGGTTGCGAAAAGCAAAATTGCGGTGCCTTATTCAGGCCCCTTGACCATGCAGCTTACTCGATGTTTGCGCCGAGATATGCCGCTAAATATCTTTCGTGGTTGCTATATGTTACTGCCGATATCGTCAAATTCCTCGAAGAGTTGAAATATGCATTCTGCGGCATTTCGTGCTACGAATACGGTTGCTCACCGTGCCTTAATGGCAGTTGTCAAAAAGGCAAGCACGGCACCAACCAGTGTGGATGCAAATCGATGCTGCACTGCAAGGGAGTCATGTCGGTATTCTGTCAGTATGGTCTTACATTTAGCGGATACCCTCGCGCGAGCAGAAAGAAATGTGACTATTTCTGTACACTAATGGAAAAGATGCTGAAATCTGAGTTGTTAGGAAAATTCCTAACTGCCATAGACACATTCATGTTCACCGTCAGGCAGAATTTCATCTGGACGCTTGTAGCCCTCTGGTCGCTGTCGCTCCTGTACCTGCTGCACATCGTAGTCGTCCGCCTCGACGTGCTGCGGATACGCTCCCACCTGAGATCACCCGCAAGCCACCGCATCGCCGCGCAGTCGCTCCTCGCCGCCGCACGCGTCAAGGCACTCGCCAACGTCAAGTACTTCTCACCATAATCGTTGCGACTGCGTTGGTTCAGTCACTCACTCACCATCGACCTTGCTCCACCACCCTACCATCGCCCCATCGGCCATCAACCGACTCAACACTCCATCAATATCAATATCGACCACATCGACCGCCCGCTCAATACCCGCTCCGTACGCACTCATCTAACTACTCATCGCCTCAATCGCCCACTCATCGACCTCGGCCACGCCCGCTCCGCATACTCATCATCGACCGCCGCCCTCTGACCGCCGCCCCGCCTATTCACTCGCCCGCCCGCCCATCGACCGCCGCTCAACCACTCGCATCACTCCGCTCCTTGCCCGCCACTCGACCACTCAGCCGCTCATATCGCCGCCCGCCCGCCTGACGCCTTTATCGCTCTTGCCACTCATCACTCACCATAAACCACTCGACCATCGACCACTCAACCGCATCGCATCATCAACAACGGTTAATTTGACCATGCGGCTAGCACTCCGTCGCATCATCTGGGTCGGTCGTTTCCAAGATCATCTTTCAAAACGCATCCATCCATCGCAGCTATCACTTCGCATTTTCATCGGCCTTTTCTTCATCGCTCACGCTTCACCTCACCTTGGCCACCCACCTCCCTCGCTGCCTCGTGTCTCCTTGACCTAAAATCGCCTTTCTCAAAAAATTCTAAAATTGTCCAAAAGTGTCCATTTCACCTTCTCTAATCATCCTCTCACCTTTTTCCCACTTCCTTCTCTCACCTCTTTTGACCTCCCTTCTTGGCCTCCTTCGTCGGCCTCCATCGACTGGTTGATCCAGGTTAAGCATGGGAATGGTGATGGTAATAAGGGCCTTGATGAGTTGGCAAAAGCTTTGCAAAAGTTGATTAGTGATGCAATTAAAAAGGCTGAAGATAGTCTCGAAAATAGGAGAAAGGAACTTGAATGCCCTAAAAAATATAAGGAAAATGAATCTAATTGTCAGTATATTGGTAGGTTAATAAAGCAAGCTGAAAAGGACTCTAACAACACGCCTTCAAATGGGGTTTCTAAAGATCAACTTGAAGAGTTTAAGAAAGAATGTGAAGCAAAATATCACAATTCCTATTACCGTGACCCTTCTAATGAGAAAGCCTTAGATGATATTACATCCAAGGTGTCTGACCTCGAAAAACTTAAGGATAGTCTAACCAAATTCACTAACCAAGATACTTGTCAAAATCTTTTAACAAATCTCACAGACGGTTTAGAAAAGTTTTTAGGTTACAATCCAAATTCCAAAGGCTACACTGGCTCCGGCATCGTGTACTCCGACCTTGACAGGCTGTGCGACGGGGTGATGTCTTTCCTTCATGGAGTGCTTCAGACTGTGAGGGATGATGATAACGTTACTACATACAATAAATACATTGATGGAAATGATAATAAACTTGATAATGTTCTTCAACTTCTTACTTCTTCAATTGGCCAGGGACGCAGTGAATTTGGTGCGCAGGTTGAAAAGGTAAGTGGATGGTTACAAAAATATTGGACGCAGGTTGGCTACAAGATGGACGCAGTTACTACACAATTAGGTAAGTTACATGTTGATTTACATCCTTTTTCAGGTACGTATCATACTCAAGTCAAGGACCAAGAGAAGAAGCCACTAACCGACCAGCTGAGGTCATGGACCCAGACACTTAGTCAGATAGACCTAGACCTAACTAGCCTTCACACTAATAATATTAGTCAGCTAGATCCTGTGTTGCGTGAAAAATTGATGCATAAGATAGAGCCTGTGAAAAGCGCCGTGCAGGTGCTGAAGGGGTCGGCGGAGCAGGGGGAGTTGGAGAAGAAAGTCAGGGAGGTGGACGAGACACTGGAGAGGCAGCAGAGATACGTTGAGCACAATTTGGCCGAAGCATTTAGAAACCTTCGCGAAGGTGTAGGGTCGTTGGAACATGATAAACGGGGGTACTTTAATAGTGTATATGATAGATTGGAGGAAGCAAGGATGATGCTGGTGAGGGAGTTTGAAAACAACTACAAAACTGATATCCTGGCAATGTTTGGTGATATACAAAATGCTGTTACCGCGCTTCAGGCGAATTTACAGCACAAGAGAATGGAGCTTCTCACTTTGGTCGAGGAGGCCCGGGCGGCGTTTGGGACATTGAAGGTGAATGCGCAGCATAAGTATCAGGATAGTATAGACAAGAATTGGGAGGCCCTAAAAACCCAGATTACGAGGCTCGTTGGTCAGATGTATAAGGAAGCGAAGCAAGATAACGGAATCACGGAAAGATCAGGCGATCTTGGCCAGATTGTAGCGGACGCCGACGCGTTTGTGTCGAAGTTTACCAGGGACGCATTCAAGTCGGCGCTGAGCGAGTGGATAAAAGATATTCTGAAGGTGGATACTACGGTACAAAGTTATATTGAGCAGTATGTTAGCGAGAACAACAGCAATGGCTTGGACCCCAATCTTAAAACTAACGACAAGCAAGCAATTAATTCAATACTTGTTCCGAAGATTGCCGAAAAGATCATCCAACAGGTTGGCCGCAAACTTACTGACGCTCAGGGGAAGATTACTAAAGGAAATGGGAACCTTAAACAAAACGTTGAAACTGTTCAAGGAGTTTGCAAGGCATTCGCCGATGAGATTGATAAGGACAGTGATGGAAAAGTTAGTAGAATCGTGGTTGCCATTAGGAATGATAATGAATTGTATAAGCAAGCCACGAGTGGAAGTCATAACCCACATAACCTCAGATACGCTGTCGACGACATCCTCCCACTGCTAAGTCGTAGAGCCAGGACATCTGCCACCCAACTCGAATGGCTTGCGAAAACCGGCGATATCAATGGCAATATCGGGAACGTGGATGCTGCTATAACGAAGGTACGATCAATTGGCAAGCAATTTGACAAGGGGGACAACCAAGGAGCCATTGGCAAGGCTATTGATGCCGCACTAAAGAACGTCAAGGCGCAAATTACAGAACTGGACAAGTATTTAGTTAGTGTGGATGATCCTATGTCAATTCAGCAGAAGTTAAACAGCGAAACCAATGGGCTTCAAAAAGTTCTTGTAGAGCTTGAGAACCTTAAGAAAGAAGACCAAAGTAAAAAGGGTGTTATTCAGGAATATAAAGAGAAAGCTGAGGAGAAGTTGAAAGCTTTGAAAGGAGAAATTGAGAAACAACTTAATTCCATTGCATCAGCCATAACAACAGCTGACATAGAATTACACAGCGCTATAAAAAAACTACGATTAACATTGTCTGAAGCCCATAAAAGTGCGGACGCAGCCGTCACAGCCGCCTTCACCGAAGTCACCAAACAAGTCCGCGCTCTCTTCGCCGAGCAACACGTCGCGGACCTGTCGGCCCTGCATACGCTGGTTGAGCGAAAATTGGCGGAGGTGAGGAAAATAATTGATGAAGATAAAGTGACGGGCGTAAAAGGCCTTTTCAAGGCTCTGAGTGGCGCATCATTTACTTTGGAAAATCGCCTTCCCAAATTTTCTGAGTCTACAAGTTCCAAGAATATGCTTACCGAACTTGAAAAGGCGTTTCCCAAGCCAGCTAAGTCAGGTGTACCAACTCCATATACTCCTGAGAAATTTAAGGAGACAGTCCAAACGATTAAAAATTATTCGAATAGAATATTTACATACATGTTGAACGATATGGAAGCATCACTTGTGTCTCAGATTGCAACTAGGCACGCTTACAAAACTAAGGTTGAGAAAATCAAAAAAGCACATAATGACGTACTTGATAGCATTTATATCACAAAGCATTTCGATCATGAATTTGTGAATTTACTTGACACACTAAGAAATATTCTCGGAGATTTATCTCCTCAGGAATTCGGTGCCCTTCCTTATGTCAACCTCGACGCCCTCAAGTCCGGCATGACGCAATTCACCGAGCAACTCGGACACGCGTATGTGAATAAATACTCCGGTTTAAAACTGGGTGATCTGTTGACACAAAATCCTGACACCTCCACCACCGATAAAGTCCTTTCCACCGAGGGCCGCAACTGCGCCAAGGTCTGCCTGACCATACTGGAGAGGGTGAGTGAGGACTTGATGAAATTAAAAGAGAGATGCAAATATGAATGGCATTCGAAAGAAATCCACCGCATTAGCGGACTTGGCGCTTTTTTGAAAGATTGTGGTTATATTGTGTCTAATAGGGATAAGCAGGACGGTGAGCTGAGGCGTCATGAAAATATGACGGGCAATCATATACTTCAGAAACTTACTGCTACACTTGCGAACATCGGTGAAATTAATAAGCACCTGAAGGAGTGTGAGTCAAACAAAAAGAATGGCACCGATACGCAGCCACAAAATGATGATGTCAAAGTCTTTGCCATCCTTTCGTGCCTCATCACTCACTTCAGTGAATACAATAAAGTCGGCCACATTGCCACTTTCTCTGCTAAAAGAACACCATGCTCCGTCTATGAGATGCTCTCCTGGTGCTGCGGTCTCGAGTATAACAGTGCTTACTCAAAGATGCAGCAGCATTGTAAGACGTTGCATCAGGCGCTAGAAAAGGAAGAAAAAGAAAATGAGAAAATGAAAGATGTCAATGCGTATTTGAAAACTATATTGTCCAAAGTAGCAGAGCATGGCTTGCCGTATCTATCTAGCAATTCACGTAACTTGCTAACCGCTATCGCCGGCCACGGTGATGCAGAGACATTTTACGGCTGTGAGTTCTCCAACAATTCCCTTTCGCTCAAATACCCTGGCAGTGGAGCAGAGTGTCTTGACATGCTTCTAGATATTCTCCGTCGTTTGTTCCTGCCACTTAGATTCCTGGACGCTCAGTGTAGTCTATCAAACAAGCATTATGGCTGGGCCAATTGCCAATATGGCAAGGACATCGCTCCAGTCAACTGGCCATGCAAGGACCATTCAACCAACAAACCAAATGGACAGTCAGCGTCTAAACCAACTTGCCAGGCAAATGACCAACCAAATGGTCAACCAAACTGCCGACCAACTTCACCTTTAATGTCCTACTTAA